ACCTGGACACGGGCTTCAGCTCGTCGTGGCCCCACGCGAACTTGCGGTACCCTTTCCACGCGTGCAGGAAGACGTCAATCACCCCCTTCTGGCGATAGTTTGGATTCGCTAGTAGGGGAGAGAGAGAGCATGGGCCATGGCAGGTGTGGTCCCGGCGTCGGCACAGATGGAAACCCTCAGGCAGAGCGCTGCTGTGACCCTGGCAGGTGTGGGATGACGGGAAGGGCAGCGGTGGGCACAGCAAAGGCTGGGAGAACACAACCTGCCAAGGGCCTGAGGCCTTTGGAGGCTGCACAGGACAGCACCTGGCACCCAACTACCTGCCTGGGGCCCATGCACCTCTGACCAGGGCCTGGGCAGGCATGCCCTCCTTGGGCTGTGGTGACCTCTGGCCAAAGGAGACAAGGGTGGCTGCCCCGAAGGTGCTGGAATGACACAGTGAACACGGCCTGTGGAGTGGTGGGTGAGTGTGGTGCCAACTCAGAGTGATCACCGCTGATGGCGCAGACCTTGACTGGACACCCTCGTCACACATGCTCACTTGGCCGCACCCTCGGTCACACCCACTCTGCCACATGGGCTGCAGGTGCCCCATAGGAAGTCACCCTGCACAGACGCACTGGAGTTGCCTTCGTTCATTTTTTTTTAATGTGTTTTTTGGCTCAGTGCAATAACTCACGCCTATAATCCCAGCACTTTGGGAGGTCAGGAGTTCATGACCAGCCTGGCCAACATGGTGAAACCCCATCTCTATTAAAAATACAAAAATCAGCCAGGTGTGGTGGCGCACACCTGTAATGCCAGCTACTTGGGAGGCTGAGGCAGGAATTGCTTGAACCTGGAAGGCGGAGGTTGCAGTGAGGTGACAGAGCAAGACTCCGTCTCATAAGAAACTATTTATTTATTTTTTGTAAAGAAGGGGACTCACGATGTTGTCCAGGCTGGTCTCGAATTCCTAGACTCAAGTGATCCTCCTACCTCAGCCTCCCAGAGTGCTAGGATTACAAGCATGACCCACCACACCCAGCCAACATATAGACTGGTGTGTGGACTGACATGTGTAACAGCACCATCCCACATGTCCTCTAAGAAAGGTTCTGAGACCTCCTCGTGCTGACGGCACGGCTGTGGCTCTGCATTCATTAATATCGCAGAGACTGCTACACATCCCTCACAGGCCTGGGGCTGGGAGTCCCAGCTCTGGGCTCCCTCCCCACCTCAGAGGCACCTGGGACATGATGAGAACAGGGCTCCAGACTTAGCGATCTGCCATGAGTCCCCACAGAGAAGCAAACAACCCTGGCAGTGGCTGACATCACCTGGCTTTCTGTCTGTAGAAGGAGAGGATGAGCCGCTTACTGTGTCACAGGGTGTCACAGGGCTGAAAGTGGCTGCATGCAAGGAGCTTGGCCAAAGGTCAGCACCTGAGAAGCCCCAGCAAATGGTGCTCAGAATGAAGCGGCCCCCAGAGTGGTGTGGGACTGGCCAGACCTGAGACAGAACACAGTGCGGGCAGCGGTCTCCATAGATCCCGTGGGGCAACCTGGCCCAGACACAAACCGCCCACACACACCCTCCTCTGCAGCCACATGCTCAGGGACAGCAAGCTAAGAGCCATGTGTTATCACCAACGCTGCAGTGCGCGTGAGTACTAAGACAGCAGGTGATGCCAAAGGGCAAGGTGCATGTCAGGGCCAGAGGTCACCCTCCATGGCCAAGACAAAGCCCACACCTGTCAGCCACCAGCCCCCAGCCCCCAAGGAGGAAGGGGCGCAGGCATGGCCTCACCTGGCTGGCCTTGTGTCTTGGCCGGTGGCAGGGAAGGCTTCGTGGGCATTTCTGCTTTTCTTGAAGGGAGCTCAGTGCCCTGTTCAGGCTCGATCACTGCTCCCCTCCAGCTTCAGGGGAGAAGGAATGGTGTCAGCTGCCGTGAAACCTGCCGCATTTCCCACCCCCACACTCGATACCCACGGCCCAGGCAAGGCCCTGCACCCATCATGGCCCCATCTCCCTGCAGTGCAGGCTGCTGAATGGCGGGAAACATAACTTGGCCCTGAGCTCCCGTGCCTGAGAGCCAAGACCACAGTGCTGCTCCACGGTCGGGGCTGGCCTGGGGAATCGTGAGAAATACCACTGCAGAGGTCAGAGGTGGGGGGCTCTACAGTGAAGGACCAGAGAATCTGTCATCCAAACAGGGGCACTAGTGACCCCAGGATGGACACACAGACTCTGCTGTCCCTACATGGGACACATGGCACCCCAGACTCCCCATCTAGAGTGCAGCTGCCAGCCCACGTGGAGGGCTTGCTGCACAACCTTCTAGCTGTGGCTGGGCCCAAGTGCGCGTTCTCTTAGGGGCCTGTGGAGAATCTGCCCCAGCTTAGCGAAAGGGCTTTCACAGCCAGATGGTTTACATGCTGGGAGTAGAAACGTGGCACTTTTATAAGCTGAGGTCCGATGTTCTTTTGCTCTGAAAGCAAAGCCTCCTTGCATTCATTCAAATGCTAACTAGAGTGCCGCAGCCCCCAAATTCTCCTTGTGGCGGTGAATTAGGGCCTCTGGGCCTGATTCTTTAGAGACCATCTCTCACAGCTGAGGATGCCTGCCTCAGGCCACTCCTTCCCAGCAGCCCTCACTGGCCCTGCCTCTGTCCACAGGGCAAAGCTCAGGTCTGACCCACTCTTTGCAGTATAAGGAGGAAGGGGGAGGCCTTCCTTCCACCTCAACTACAGCAACTCTGTTTCTACGAGCGTAACATGGAGCCAGAAACGAGGCTGAGAACCTCCACAGCTGAGGCCTCACCGGGGTCCACAACCCAGACCCTGACCAAGTGGGCAGAGGCAGCACCCCAGGAGCCTGGCACAGGCAACTCCCTCTCCCTCTGCTCACTGCCCAAACAGATGAGGCTCGGGAAGGGACAGCCCAGGCAGCCAGTGTCCACCTCTGAGCCTGGTTCCCCATCCCTGACCCGAGCACCCCCACCACCCACCCATGCACCCTTCACACACACATGAAATGGTCTCGTTCTGAAACATGACTGCATACCAGGAGGACAGAATCAGGGACCTACTTCAGCTCTGACCTCCAGTTTTAAAAATTTGACTCTGTAATCCAAAGTTAATGAAGACAGATTATAGAGCATCCACTGTCAGTTTCTAAGGAAAGTCCATCTCGGACACAATACTGTTCTTCACTATCTTGTTTTCCAGACATGAACCCCTGCACTGTGGCGTACGCCCGGCTCTGCGCTGCGTACCTGATGACCGTCCTCTGCAAGTCTCCATCTGGGCGGGTGCCCACTGGGGCTTCTTCCCTTTTCTTGGCCTCCTCCTGCATCCCATCCTTCAGGTCTTGGCTGGGGGGTCTAATCTGCAGATGAGGTGGTCCCGGCTGGATGAGCCTTTGTGACTTCTGGATAGAAATCGGTCACACAGGAAGTCACTGGGCACCTGCAAGCTGCCCTTCTTTCCCTGTAAGGGATGCTCTCAGGTGCAGCCCACACCTCTCGACTGAGCTTCTGACCTCAGACTCAATACTTTGGTTTAAACTACAATAGGCAGCTTCAGAAGACAGATCTTAGGAGCCTGGGGACACTGCCAACTGGCTAAACTGCCCCAGGCAAAGCACTTAAGCCCCTCCTATGGCGCAAATATTTCAAAACTTTCACAGGTCCTAAAGGGTTAACAAGAATGAGCTGGAGGAAACACCAGCTCCAGCAACAGCTCTGGGTCCCCAGGCCTCCCAAAGAGTCACCCGCAATATGACGAAGGCGCCCACATACGGAGGTGCCCACAGTCACCCGCATCTTGACGGAGGCGCCCACAGGGTCACCTGCAACGTGCGGAAGTTGCCCACATCCTTGCTACAAAGCACAAAGATTCTGACAACACAGGGAGCCGCGTTCCCTTTGTCAGGTGACCCCACCATGTGATGGGGGTCTTCTACCCACCCCGCCTCTCCATCCCGTGTTTCCCCACATGCAGGCAAAGAACCCCATCCCTCACCTCCCTTCCCCACGTAAACAGGACCATAGGACAGTAGGGCCTTGCTGCAGACAGTCACAGACCAAGGCTTAGACACTCCCATGAGCGGCTAGAGGTAAATTCATTCTCTCCTATGGTCTCAGTTTTCCATGGTATTACCAAACCCTCATTTTTATTATTACTATGATGATTACAGAGACAGGGTCTGCCTATGTTGCCCAGGCTGGTCTCAAACTCCTGGACTCATGAATTCCTCCTCCCTTGTCTTCCCAAAGTGCTGGGATGACAGGTTGGAGCCACTGCACCCAGCCCAAACCATAATTTTGAACTTCTTTACTGATGGATAGACTGTTCTACTTTTTTTTTTTAAAGGCAAGAATACTGATTTATGGCTGGGTGCAGTGGCTCACGCCTGTAATGCCAGCATTTTGGGAGGCTGAGGCAAATGGATCACCTGAAGTCAGGGGTTCAAAACCAACCCGGCCAACATGGCGAAACCCCATCTCTACTAAAAATATAAAAAAATTTGCCAGGCATGGTGGTATATGCCTGTAATCCCAGACAGAGCCTCACTCTGTCACCCAGGTCAGAGTGCAATGGCATGATCTCAGCTCACTGCAACCTCTACCTCCCAAGTTTAAGTGATTCTCCTGTCTCAGCCTCCTGAGTAACTGGGATTACAGATGCCCACCACCACACCCGGCTGATTTTCTGTATTTTTAGTAGAGACAGGGTCTCACCATGTTGGCCAGACTGGTTTTGAACTGCTGGTCTCAAGCGATCTACCCGTCTTGGCCTCCCAAAGTGCTGGGATTACAGGCATGAGCCACTTCACCTGGCCCCAGCCTGTTTTGTTTTGTTTTTTAAATAGAGACAGGGTCACTCACTATGTTGTTCAGGCTGGTCTCGAACTCCTGGGTTCAAGCAATCTGCCCGCCTCAGCCTCTCAGAGTGCTGAGATGACAGCTGTGAGTAACTAGGTCCACTGTGTGTTCATCTAGCCTCTTCCTGCCCAGGTGGCTCAATCACTGTTCTCTTCATCTCCCTGCTACTGAGTCGACAGTGGAAGGTCAGAAGGAACTATTAGAATTACATCACTAAGATCATCGTTTTTTGTTTTTTTTTCTGAGACAGAGTCTTGCTCTATTGCCCAGGCTGGAGTGTAGTGGCACAATCTCAGCTCACTGCAATCTCTACCTCCCGGGTTCAAGCAATTCTTTTTTGCCTCAGCCTCCCAAGTAGCTGGGATTACAGGTGCCCGCCACCATGTCCAGCTAATTTTTTGTATTTTCAGTAGAGACGGGGTTTAATCATGTTGGCCAAGCTGGTCTCGAACTCCTGACCTCCTGACCTCAGGTGATCCACCCACCTTGGCCTTCCAAAGTGCTAGGATTACAGGCATGAGCCACCACACCCAGCCCATCTAGTCTTAAATCACCATTATGAGGACGAGGTATGGTGACTAACACCTGTAATCCTAGCACCTTGGGAGGCCAAGGCAGGAGGATCACTTGAGCCCACGAGTTCCAGACCAGCCTGGGCAACAAAGCGAGACCCCATCTTACAAAAAATAAAAAAAAATAGCCAGGTGTGATGGCACATGCCTATAATCTCAGTTACTTGGGAGGCTGAGGCAGGGAATCACTTCAACCTGGGATGTGGAGGTTGTAGTGAGCAGAGATCATGCCACTGCACTCCAGCCTGGGCAACAGAGACTCTGTCTTAAAAAAAATAAAATAAGGACCGGGCACAGTAGCTCACGCCTATAATCCCAGCACTTTGGGAGGCGAGGCGGGTGGATCACGAGGTCAAGAGATTGAGACCATCCTGGTCAACATGGTGAAACCCTGTCTTTATTAAAAATACAAAAATTAGCTGGGCATGGTGGCACGCGCCTGTAATCCCAGCTACTTGGGAGGCTGAGGCAAGAGAATTGCCTGAACCCAGGAGGTGGCGGTGAGCCGAGATCACGCCATTGCACTCCAGCCTGGGTAACAAGAGCAAAACTCTGTCTCAAAACAAAAAATAAAAATAATAAAAAATAAAATAAAATCACCACTATGAGTTCAATGATCACAGTTTTATGATCTTGTAGGAAAGTTCATTTGCATTTTACTCCCCAATTTTTTTTTCCATATGAATTTTAGAATCATCTTTAAAAACAGAGGTTAGAATTTTGATAGGGAGTCAATGGATTTACAGATTAATTTAGGGAGAACTTAAATTTTTTTTTTTTTTGAGACAGAGTCTTGCTCTGTCACCCAGACTGGAATGCAGGGGTGTGATCTCGGCTCACTGCAATCTCCACCTCCTGGGTTTAAGTGATTCTCCTGCCTCAGCCTCCCGAGTAGCTGGGATTACAAGAGTAAGCCACCACCTGGTTAATTTTTTTTTTTTTTTTTTGTATTTTTAGTAGAGATGGGGTTTAGCTATGTTGACTAAGCTGATCTTGAACTCCTGGACTCAGGTGATCCACCAGTCTCAGCCTCCCAAAGTGCTGGGATTACAGGCGTGAGCTACTGCACCCGGCCTAACTTAAACCTTTATAGCAGAAGAATACTCTGTCTAATTATTTAGGTCTCTTCAAGTACTTTTTGAGTTTTATAGTTTTACTCATACAGATTATGCCTCTGAATTTGGTGGCATTCTTTTCTTTCTTCTTTGGTTTTTAAACCCAGAAGAATTACCAAATTCATTTTTATGTTTAAATACAACTTACAAGTCCATGATTTCCCATCACCCTCTTCCTGTACAAAAGCAGGGTGAAGTACAAGCAGAGCGTTTAGATTCCTCTCTTGTGGCGATCAGCTGTTACTTTAGCTTATTTCTTGGTACATGTAGTCAGCTGTATTTCGCTCTGAAAAGATTTGTTAAAAGGGTGGCATTCTTTTCTTGTTATTGTAATGGAGATATGTTTTCTCTTTTCTTTCTTTCTTTTTTTTTTTTTTTAGATTGAGTCTCACTCTATCGCCAAGGCACAATCTCAGCTCACTGCAACATCTGCCTCCCAGGTTCAAGTGATTCTAGTGCCTCAGCCTCCTGAATAGCTGGGATTACAGCTGCACACCACCATGCCTGGCTAATTTTTATATTTTTAGTAGAGATGGGGTTTCACCATGTTGGCCAGGCTGGTCTCAAACTCCTGACCTCAAACCTCAAGTGATCTGCCTGCCTCAGCCTCCCAAAGTGCTGAGATTACAGGTGTGAGCTACCACGCCCTGCTGAGATCTCTTTTCTAATTGATTATTGCTGCTATATAGCAAAGTTCTCTAAAACTAACTTCTACATTTGAAATCAGCCAGATGTGGTGGCTCATGAAGCCTGATGAAGTCATAAGAAGCATACTTGTTAAAGGATGAAATGTTCTAACTCACAACAGTCATACAAATAATAAAGGAAAACATTAAATTCCTAAGAATCATCAAAGGATATGGATGCCTTACAGGAGGGAGCGCAGGACTAGGGTGGCCCCTTCCTCCAACCTCTGCAGATAACACAAACCATCTATATTTAGGGACTCCTATACCCTGTCTCTCCTGGCAGACTCTGATCCTGGCACGCCCTGCCCACCACGGTCTCCATGGTGCCTCCCAGGCATCTCACACTGGGCAGATCCAAAACGGAGCTCAGTGGCGGCCCCTCCACCGGGGACCCGCCCTCCCTCTTCCAACCCATTCCTTTGGACTCCTCCCCACACTCGGCTTTTCCCATGGCCAGGCAGCTCTTTCGGCCTCCTGCCCTCCACTGAGTCTCCACCTGCAGCCAGAGCAGTTTCAGAGTAAACATCTCTCTCGGACATGCAGTCCACGCCAAAATCTTCCTGTGCACATCAACTGAAAACTCCAGTGCTGCCTCCAGGACCTGCAGGACCACAGCTGGACTAAGGCAGCCCCCGGCCCCCTCCCAGCCCTGGGAATTTCACCTTCCCCAGTATGCCAATGTCCCCCTTGTCTCAGGCAGTTTCGCTCAGTCTCAAGTCAGCCTCTCCCCACCCTGTCCGGTGCCAGCAGCTTCGCAGTCCTCAGATCTTGCCCTCAGTGCCACGGCCTCCCCTGGGCCCTCAGATCCAGCCACTGCTCTTCCCCAGCACCCTGCTCTTTTCCACACAGGACATACACCATGTGCCACCTGCCTCTGCCCATCTGCAGCTGGCTTCTCACCAGCCTCTCCTACCAGCTGTGGCCCCTCAAGAGGAAACAAGTCTGTCTTATTCAACACTGCACGGTCAGAACTAAAACGGTAACTGGCCTCGGCTGGTGTTCAAGAACAAAACAAACACTATGGCTCTCCTTCCCCAAGTAGTAGCCAACCAGTCCAGACAAGAGAGAGGCCAACACATGGAATACATGGTATAAAGGAAAAGAATTCTTCTCAATCTTCAGTGGTTTGAAATGTCTCTGGATCGGACCCCCGTTATAACTCCACAGCATGTGCTCAAAGTACCTGCGATGAAATCTCTGGGAAGTCTTCAGGGTTGGTGTCTGCCTTCTGAGGAGCTGGTAAGACAGGTGGATTTGCTGGTTTCAACCCTGTGATTTCTGGCCTCATCTTCTGCTCTTCCTCTAGCCTGACAGCCAGAGCTGAATAAGAGAAGCTATTTTATTTCAAATATGCCACAAGGCCTACAAGAGATTTAAATTGCTTCATAAAAAAACTTGGCAGGCATTATCCATTACAAACCAACATTATGAGGCCTGACAGTCACTGGAATGAATTTGATAATGGCCCAAGGGAATGAAATCTTTTCAAAACACTTGGCAGTGTGTGTCCTCATCCATGACACAGAATCCCTCATCTTTTGCCTTCCTATTTTCCAATCGGGAAAGTTCAGCATGTGGCAGATGGGCACCTGGCATCTCAGTTCTGGGACCACGGTGAGGGGATGGGGCTGGGCTGCCCTTGGGCACTGTCCTAGGCTGGGGGCTACCCTGGCCACGTGGGCGAGGAGCCCAGGGCCTTACATTCAGTGAAGATTAGCACGTGGCACTGGGGCACATGAGCAAGCTGCAGGAGCTCTTTAGCTTTGCTCCTAAGAGAAGCATCTTAGGCAAAGGCAGAAGAGATTCTCTACGTCCTCATCAGAACTCTGCCTGTTCTTTTCCAAACACACGCTAATGAGTGCTACAAAATTAGTGTGGTTATTTAGGCTGTGTTCAAGCCCATGAGCTGACTTACTCTACGAGAGAGGCTGGACATTAACAGTACTTACACCAGATACCTAGAAAGCAGTCAGACAGCATCAAATTAAGATCTGTGTTCTAGCCAGGTGGTTAAATACAGCTCTACCTCTCTCTTTATCTTGATTTCTTGCCAATTCGTTGCCACATATGCCTCCTGGAGCTGTTTAAGGTAGAATGCAAGATTGCTTCTGCCCAATCAACCCTCAACACAGATACCATTTTCAAATAATACGTGTTTCTGATACCTTTCCAATGGTCAGCTAAGTTGATGTAGAAGAGAAGTCCACAGAAAATCAGAAAGACAAGGAGGAAGAGAATCACATTCCTCTGCAATCTTGACAGTTGCTTCCATTTCTAAGGGACGTACAGAGAATGACATTTCTTACTGAATATATCACACAGAAAGTCTCAACTGTCACAAACTGTGAGGACAATAAGGAAATCAGTAAAGATGCAGTGTTCGGCTCTACTTCCTTTTCTTTTGGATACAGGGTCTCAGTCTGTCAGACCTAGGCTGGAGTGCAGTGGCTGGAACTTGGCATGAGCCACCGCAGCCAGCCAGCTCTATTTCTTTTGAATGGGGAGAAGCTGCCTCTCAGCAGAGAGTATGAACATTGCTGAGACAACACTCTAGATGTCATTAATACACTGGTTCAGGTGTGATAAAAATAAGAAAAACAGAAACATTTCTGTCACATTTCATCAGCAGTGAATAGACTCCCGTGATTCCCCCAGATGCAGCCCAAGCCCCGCCCAGGCCATGCACGTGTCCGGATGTGGTAAGTTATCAATGCCCTTCATCCTGAGACCACAACCAACACACCAGGAGCCAACCACGAGGGGAGCATACACCATAAGGAACTGTTGGTTTCCGCTCCAAGAGGAACCGGGGCCTAGGCCAGGATCTTGCAGAAAAGTGAACGAGGCCCAGACAACCTGCTGGGGCTCCGAGACCTCCTCCCACCACCGCCCCACAGAATTCGGGCCGCTGAGACCGCTGCAGGCGAGCCTACCACGACTGCCCTGACCCGGAACGCACATTTGTCCCTTTCTGCAGGGAAGGGGTGGAGAGGCCGGTGCTGGGGGAGTAGTGTCCGCCCGCCCAGGCCCCGCTAGAAGCCGCAGGCTGGGAGGGCCGCGGGCGCAGCGGCCCCCGTCCTGGGTCAGCCCGGCGCGGCCCTCACCCTCCAGCACGAGCGCCGCCGCCAACTCTTGCTGTTGTCGTAGCTCTCGCCAAAGCTCAGCGTCACCGAGATGAAGTCCCGATGAGGCGGCGGCGGTGGCGGCGGGTACATGACGACGGTGGTGGCGACGGCCCGAGGGACCCCGCCCACTGGCGGCGTCAGGAGGTCCGACTCTGGGAAGAACCGAGAGCTCCTCTCCTTCGGCCCTCGCAGGCAGCCATTGCACCGCCGTCAACAGCCCGCCCATCGCACGGCTACGCGACTGCGCATACGCTGCGTCTCTAAGTCACTGCGCCTGCGCCCATCTCCGCTTCGCTCCAGCGTGCGAGGTTGCGTTGGCGGCTGCGTCAGAGAACAGCTGCGGCTCCGCCCAGCCCTCAGGTTCACTGCGTTCGCGCCGGGCCGCGCATGCCCAGATGCGCTCGGAGCGCAGCTGTAGCGACGGGGCGGTCCTAGGTCCCTTCTGGGGATTGGTCGCTGCCGGGGATCCCTCGTGGTTCGCTCCGCGGTGCTGGTGCTGGGCTCCTCCCGCCTCCTGCAGTCGGCGGCCCCGGCTTTGCCCGCGCACTCACGGGGAGACGGCCGGGTGGCGCCGCCATATTGGCAGGGAGCCCCGGGCGCCCGACGCCTTGGTTCCGGGATCCGCGGCGCGGGGATGGAGCTGGGCCGCCTTTGGGGGCCGTCCTGGGCTGGGGGCCACTCTGGTCGCGTGGTCACCGGCAAGGAGCCCGTGGCCTCACTCGGGCGCGGCCTTGTGGGGGCCGAGGGAGCAGGACGGGGCGAAGCTGGGCGGCACCCGAGCTGGGGTGGCCGCTCCGCATCTCACCGGCGCCGGGGCTCGAGCGATGCGCCTGGGCAGGGGCCGAGCGAGGAGGCCAAGCGGCGGACTAGACCCACAGTCCCCGCGCCGTAGACGGGTCGGGGCTTTCAGACACGGCTTCAGCCCTCGAACCTGGTAGCCTTGAAGGTCAGCTTGAGATGATTGCGCTTTCTGTGCGCGTTGTCCTCCCCCAAAATGACAAAGCGACGTCCCTGGCCGCCCGAGGCCTTCCCTGCCTGGGTTCTTCCCTGGAACCTCAGCCTCGGCCCCCTCTCATTCTCTCCTGGCCAAGCTGCCCGCTGCCCCTTGGGCGAGTCTGCTGCATCCCACGGTCCTGACTGTGGCATTTCTGGGTGTCTGGAGGCCCCCCCCAACTCTGGTATCTCAGTACGTGGCTCGTCTCTGTTCCCCTGCCTTTCTAGGGATCATCTTGAGGTCTCTCGTGGTCTCTGCCCCCCTGTGACACTTGCCATTACCCAAATGGAGTCACTTATGTCACGTTCTATCAAGTTAGAGTCGGGAGGTCATGAAGAAACCCTCACAAATACATTAACAACGGCTGACTTGGCCAGTAAGCTAACGCTAGGGCCTGCGGTAACCCCTTCTAACCTTTGGTCTTTATAACCTTAGATATCTTTATTATTTATTTATTTATTTTGAGATGAAGTCTTGTTCTGTTGCCCGGGCTGGAGTGCAATGGAGCGATCTCGGCTCATTGTAACCTTTGCCTCCTGGGTTCACGCAGTTCTCCTATCTCAGCCTCTCGATTACGTGGGATTACAGGTGCACACCACACACTCGGCTAATATTTTTGTATTTTTAGTTAAGACGGGGTTTCACAGTGTTGGCCAGAATGGTGTCTATCTCCTGACCTCGTGATCCACCCGCCTCGGCCTCCCACAGTGCCTGGCTGACCTTTGGTTTCAAAACAGCTTATGGTAACTTTTCTGTCTTTAAAAGATTTATCTTGGGGCCAGGTGCCCTGGCTCCTGTAATCCCAGCACTTTGGGAGGCCGAGGCAGGCAGATCACTTGAGGTCAGGAGTCCAAGACCAGCCTGACCAACTTGGTGAGACCCTGTATCTACAAAAAAAAAAAAAAAAAAATTAGCTGGGTGTGGTGGCACATGCCTGTAGTCCCAGCTACTCGGGAGGCTGAGGCAGGAGAATTCCTTGAACTCAGAAGGTGGAGGTTGCAGTGAACCAAGATCACACCACTGAACTCCAGCCTGGGCGACAGAGCAAGACTCTTGTCACCAAAAAAAAAAAAAAGAAATCCTTGGGCAGGGCACAGTGACTCCTGCCTGTAGTAATCCTAGCACTTTTGGAGGCCAAGGTGGGCAGATCCCCTGAGCTCAGGAGTCCAGCCTGGGCAACATGGTGAAATCTGTATCAATACAAAAATGAGTGTGGCGTAGTAGCGTGTGCCTGTGGTCCCAGCTACTCCAGAGGCTGAGGTGGGAGGATCACCTAAGCCCAGGAGGACAAGGCTGCAGTGAGCCATGATCACACCACTGCTCTCCAGCCTGGGAAACAGTAAGACGCAGTCTCAAAAAAAAAAAAGGATTTCCCCTTTCCTTTATCCCCACCCCACCCCCATCATATGCCTACGGCCCACTGAGGTCTGCATATCCTAAATTGCAATCATCTGTTGTTTTCAGTTAAATGCATTTGTTCTGGAAAGTCTGCGTTTCTCTTTAGATTGACACCACTCATTCTTGTCAAGTCCCTGCAGTGCCCCAAGCATCCCGCCCATGTGGTTAGCAGGGAGACCTTGGCATCTGGAGGCTGCAGGTGCAGGAGAGTGAGTCTCCAGGCAATCAAAGCTGAGCATGCAGAAGCCAGCCCTGGAGAGCACCCAGGGCTCCTGACCCCAGGTTGTCTCAGGCCCTTCGGAGACCTGGTGAAGCGTGGGATGGGATTGCAAGGGATTCCTGGGCACCCCAAGCAGTCTCGGCCTTCATCTGGGAACTCCTTGCCCCCAGTGAGGCCAGCCCTGGGCCACAGCTGTGAACGCCTGACCCTTGTTCCCACCACTAGCCAAAAACTGCACTTGCCAGGGTCTCAGCCAATCACAGCACCTTTTGTTTACTGGAAACATCCCAGTGACAGAATGTGAAGATGCCGTCACCATCTTACAAACTGTTAAATCATCAATGGTTGTGGGGCCATGGGTGGTAGCGCTGTGTGCCGATGAGGGGCAGCAGAGGGAGACCTTTGCAGTGTGACTTGACTGCACATGTGCATGCACTGGACCACACGTATTTGGACTTGGAACACTGCAGCAGTCTCTCGCTCCTGGATTTGACATTGTCCTTATAGTCATGTGAGATGCCGTCACCGGGAATCTGGGTGGAGAGTACTCAGGACCTCTCTGGGCTTTCTTTGCAACTATACATGAAGGTATGGTTATTAGAAAATGTAAAATGAGAGTGAGCCAGGTGCAGTGGCTCATGCCTGTAATCCCAGCACTCTGGGAGGCCAAGGCAAGAGGATCACACTTGAGCTCAGGAGTTTGAGACCAGTCTGAGTAACACGGAGAGACGGGGCATGGTGACTCACGCCTCTAATCCCAGCTCTTTGGGAGGCTGAGGCAGGCTGATATGAGGTCAGGAGTTTGAGGCTCAGCCTGGCCAATATGGTGAAACCCCCGTCTCTACTAAAAATACAAAAATTAACTGGGCATGGTGGCAGGCACCTGTAATCTTAGCTGCTTGGGAGGCTGAGGCATGAGCATCACTTGATATGGGAGGCAGAGTTGCAGTGAGCTGAGACAGCACCACTGCACTCTAGCCTGGGTGACACAGCAAGACTCTGTCTCAAAAAAAAAAAAAAAAAAAAAAAAAAAAAAAAACTAAAAACCTTCTCTCAGCTAGCTGCTTGTGTAGAAAGAGGCTGTATCCCTGTTCCAGTCGTGGCCATGAGGAGCCGCTATGAAAAGGGCCCTAAGGCACTGCATGGCTTGCAACAAGAAGGGCAGAGCCAGGGAGGGGGAAGCGGACGTCATCCTCTGGGCTTTGGTTTCAAAAATAGCAAGGTGTGGGCCTGAGCGTGCTGCCTGCCCAGGTCTGGGCACCTCCACTCAGCCACTGTCCTCCCAGTGCCTCTAAATCTGGAAGGCTGCATCTGAACCTGCCCTTACAAACACCCTCCCGAGAAACCAATGGGGCCTTCTACTGGGGGCGGCGGTTTGTGAGGTGGGGCTGAGGATTCAGCAGCAGGTTACATGGCATAGCTCTCTCCATGCCAGCACGGAAAGTGAGGTGCCACTCTCATCTCCCTGGAGATGAGAAAGCAGGAGAGAATCATCAGGGAAGAACCCTGGGGCTGCTGGCTTGTCCCAGCTATGCCTGAGTGCTGGGAGGGGCCGGGGCACTAAATATGGAGGCTGTGGCCTCACTCAGAGAGTGGGGCAGCCTGAGCACCAAGATCCATCAGAAGCAGCAGGCAGCTGGGACAAGGGCTGGCACTTCTGACTCATGAAATCCCAGATTAGTCAACAGCCATCACAGAGGCCTCCGGTGTTGATCCTGCTGGTTCTTGGGGAAGCACAGAAAACTCATCAGCTTAAAGTGACCGTGGATGAGGCTGAGAGGTGGCAGCTTTGGGGATAAATGGGGATAAGGCAGGAGTGCTGGCTGCAGGCTCAGGTGTCCCAGCCAAGCTTCTCAGAGCCACCTGGATCACGGGCATTAGGCCCTTTCTGTGACCTTGCTGGGCACCGGGGTGTGTGGGCAGGATTCCCCAGCCTTGCCCCCATTACTGGTTCAGCTGCTGAGGAGAAGGGGCAGCCCTTGGGTGGGTGGAGCCATCCCCTCGCTCTGGTTCCACATCTGTAGGCTGCAGAAGCACATCCAGCATAGCTTATGTGGCTTCTAGTGCTCGACTGGGTGCGGGGACCCACAGGGCTGGCTCCCAGAAGGACATGCCCTCCTGTTCTTCCCAGATGACACCACACCTCCCTCAGGCCCCAACCCAAAGCCTTCTCTCAGCCCCATTCTCCCAGGCCCCAAGTCCCTCTGCCTCTCAGCTGGACCCCACAGCTGGGAATGGAGCCACAGAGCCCCAGCAGGCAGCACCACTTGTGTCCAGAGGCAGTAGGAGAGGGCCTACCGTCGTGGAGGGGACCAGGATGTTTCATCCTGTGTTCTGCAGGCTGGAAGCATGTGGCAGCCTGCTGTTCCACCAGAGCCCAGGCTAGGGCCGTAGCCCCCAGCTCCAGGACCCGGGGTTGGCAGGCCTGGCAGGGTCAGGGCTCCTGTGGCTGCAGCTCCCTGGCCTGGTCCTCATCCAAGATGAGCGGGGACTGGAACTCCCGGCCTTGCAGATACACTTCTAAACCCTGAAGACAAGCAGGCCACAATGGTCAAGTGCCCACCTTTTGGCCGGCCACAGCCCCTCTGGCCACCCCTAGGAGCCACAGTCCCCAGGCATGATCACAGGTCTGCCTAGAGTCAGAGAGGGGTGGGGACAGAGAAGCTTCCAGGGCCAGGAGCAGATGCACACTGCAGGACACCGGAGATCCCACTCAAGACCCTAGGCCAGCAGGAGACCCTCCTGTCAAGCTCAGGCCTGACTTGACCAGAGAAAGGGGCAAAAGCAACCGCGGTCAGGGAGGTAGCAGAGGCTGGCATCTTCCCTCCGCAAGGCCCCACCAAGGCCTGACTGACCCCACACTGGGCACAGACCTGGGTCATCTCATCCCCAGGACCTGCAAAAACCTCACCCCACCTCACCCCATATCCTAGAAGGTCTTCTGCCACTTTAAACCACTGACCCCATTGGTAAACGGAGATAGAGCTGTGCCTTCTCCACCCAAGCCACCACCTCTCCCCAGGTTGTACTCCAAACCGGATTCCAGAAGGGCCCAGACAGGGATAGGCAGCTCTCACCTCTCCAGAGTAGGACACCAAGGGCGATATCTCACAGATGGCTGGAGGATCTCCATTTGGGGGTGAGCTAGGGAAAGACCACTTGTCAATATCTCCTCACAGCTGGCCAGGGCCCTCCCCCAGTGCCCCCCCCACCGCATGGAAGCCTGCGCACACACCTGATTCCCTGAAGACCCTTTCTCAGCAAGCCCGTCTTCCTCTGGACACCCCAAACCCTGAGCACACATCCCACTGCCAAGTGACAGGACCTGATCTGGGGGAGAAAGCACCCCCACAGGCCTCCCATGCAGAGCCTAGGCAGGTTTAGGGGTGGCCCTAGAAAATCAGGGAGATGGAAACCCAATGTCCTTTTCTCTCCCAGCCCTGATATCAAACTGTCCTGCTACTTTCTGAATTCATGCCCAGGCCTCAGTTTCAAAGCCTATGAATAAACGGGCACAATGTTAGTTGGGTGATAGATCCCCTAAAAGCCCTGATTTGACCACTGTGCAATCTGTATGCATGTAACAAAATTGCATGCATACCCCACACATTTGTACAAATAAGAAAAATAAAAACAAAAAAATAGCTGGGGTGCACTGGCTCACACCTTTAATCCTGGCACTTTGGAAGGCTGAGGCAGGCAGATCACAAGGTCAAGAGATCGAGTCCAGCCTGACCAACATGGTGAAACCCCATCTCTACTAAAAAAAAATACAAAAATTATCTGGGCGTGGTGGGCATGTGCCTTGTAGTCCCAGCTACTTGGGAGGCTGAGGCCATAGAATCACTTGAACCCAGGAGGTGGAGGTTGCAGTGAGCTGAGATCGCGCCACTGCACTCCAGCCTGGTGACAAAGTGAGACTCCATCTCAAAAAAAAAGAGAGGCAAATCTAAGTATGCTTTTGTAAACAAACCAAAAGCTTGTTGGTAAATTGGGGAGTTGGGGAGCCCCCTGCTTCCCTCAGAGCTCTGGGCAGAACTTGAAGGGTCAGGCCAGGAGGCTGTGCCAGTGGTCACCGTGTGATCTGGGGTGGTGCCAGGACAGAAGACCTCTCCCCAGTGTGGCTGTGGCAGAGCCAGCAAGGGCCCGGAGCTGAACCCTCCCCTTCTGTGACCCCAGGGCCACACTCACCAGGGAAGCTCTGGGAGCCAGGCCCCATGTGCATCCAGGAAGCGGGCCCCGGCCTGCAGGGCCCACCGGTAGTGCTGGGCGAGCAGGGCCCGGCGGGCAGTACAGGGGCTGTCCCTGTCAGCCAAGTCTGCGTTCTTCAGTGGGGAAAACTCCTCCTCCCGTAACACTTCAAAGGCAACAAAGTTCCTGGTGGAGAAAGGGCTGGTCACCTATGTCCCAGCCCAGAGGCCCCAATCTGGGCAGGTGAGGGCTGGGCCGGGTCTCCAGTAATGGAGTGAAGGTCTGGCAGCAAGTCTAGGCAGGAGCCCCAGCAGGTACTGCAACTTTAAACCACCAACGCCATTGGTAAACTGAGGTAGAGCTATGCCATCTCCACCCAAGCAGCCACCTCTCTCCACATGGCATTCCAAACCTGACTCCAGAAAATGGAAGGACCTGGGGCCTCCATTTCCAGCAGCCAAAAGCCCAGACCCTGCAACCCCTGTCGTGAGAGCCAAAAGCCCTCCCAGCTGCTCTGGCAACCTGGCCAGAGATAGCTCCTAACTTTGGGTAGGGACAGCGGAGGGTCCTCCCAGATCCACAGCCCCAGGACTCGAGCTGCCCCAGAGGCTCACTATGCCCCAACCTTGGGGACTGCTAACCCTCAGGGGTCTTCTCGCCGAGACCTGCTCACAGTCCCCTTGGCTCCCCCTCCCCGGGCCTCCACCTCCCTGCCTAGCTGGGCCTCAGTTCCCACCACCAAAACTGAGGGAGAGAAGAACGGAAAAATGAATGAGCCCCACTACTAACTTAGCGAACTGGAACACATCAAACACAAACTTCTCCATCTTTATCCCATTCGGTTTCAGTGGCTTTACCAGATTCCCCTCCTCATCCACGTACGGGACCTTCTTCACAGCCACGTGTGGCTTCAGCAAAGGCTCAAAATCCCTGGGCCATGGGAGGGCAGAGGAGAAGAAAAAAACAGATCAGATAGGGCACCGCTGAGGGCTCTGTCCCCATTTCTGAGCACACCCAGCCGGGTGAGACAGGATGGCAGCAAGGACATTACACCACATAGATGCAGCAGAGTGGAGCTGGATCTCCAGGGAGGAGCGGGCACAGGTCTCCTCCCTGCAGCCCCGTGCCACATTCCTGCCCAGGCAAACAGAAACTGGCAGGCCCTGGGGTTAGCGCCATGGGCCCCAGGGCAGTTCCTCCAGCACCTCTGCCTGTACAAGACTGGGATCCCTTCTCCACCACAACCCTTCAGCCACGCCTGACCACAGCCGCTGTGGCCCAGGGCACGCAGCTCACTGGGACCCCGCGGGTCCCTGGTCAGTGCAGGCAGCTCTGGCCCGCACTCCATGGCCACCTGCTGACGCACACCTGGTGACGGCCTGAAGGAAGCCTCGGGTGAAGAAGTGGTTGCAGATGTTGCCTGCATTGTAGAGCAGGCCCCCGTCGGAGGCACGCAGCTGTGCGGTCTCAGGACTGATCTCGCTGTATTCCACCACCTGGGGGACGCCGTCCACCTGGCACACCACGCCCACCGGCTCCTCGGGGTAGGCCTTTTCCACCACCTGCAGCCGAGACCAGGGATGGGCTGAGGGCGGGGCTTCGTGAGGGGTGGAGCTTCGCGAGGGCGGGGCCAGCCTCGGGGGCGGGGCGCGGCGCAGGTGGGCGCTGACCTTGGCCCCACAGTCCGCACCCTGCAGCACACAGAAGCCGATGAAGACAGGGTCTGCTAGGCGCACCAGGATGTTGTCCACACAGTACACGTGCACAAACTCCACTCCCCGGCGCTCCATGTCCTCCAGGATCTTGTGGTCCTCCAGCGCGCAGTAAAGGCCCCCGTTGCCGTCTGCAGACGGAGAAGGGAATGGGCTTCTCGAGGGCTCCCCCCAGGGCTCACTCTGCGGGTCTAGGACGCGCTGGAGGCGGGGGAAGCCCCGGCCCTGTGCCTAAGGCACCCTAGTCCTTAACCAGACAGCCCTGTGGTTGTACCACGTGACAAACGGGGGCTCAAGGCCCAGAGAAGGAGGCGCCTAACCCGGGACCACACAGCCTTGGGGCAGCCGCGAACCCGGGCACGTGGATTCCCCCAGCTACACTCCCAGCTCTGGTCTGGGAGGTCCCTCCCGTCTCAGGAACGGGCCACACCTGGGGCCATGGCAACTTTGTCTTTGCGCTCCAGGATAACTTTGCCATCAAAGGTCACGGCAGGCAGCAGGCGCTGCTCAAACATGACCACGTTGGCGGGGTCCAGGTGGAAGAAGTCGTGCTCCCTGAAGAACTCTGCCGTGGGCCCCAGCGTGAACTCGCTGGTCATGAGGTACCTGCGAGGGAGGCGGGGTGAGCCGGCCGTGAGCGAGACGGGGCTCGGACCAGCGCTGGCATCGGGGACCGGGGTCCAGCGTCCAGTTGGGGCTGAGACCAGGCCCTATTTTGGTGGGATGCTGGGCTATGTCCCGGGCTGTGCCGGGGTTGGGACTCGCGTCTGGAGCGGGTGGGGAAAACGGGCGCGTGGGCAGGGGTCCCTCCGGGCTGAGGCAGGGCAGGGAGGACACACCAGGGCACGGTGCAGCGGGTCCCGTGGCGCTCACCGGCCAGCTGCTCCACCCGCCGAATCCGCTCCGCCTGCAGCTGGTACAGGGTCTTCCGGCTGGGCAGCCCCACGCGGTACATGCCCTTGGGGTAGGTCACGCCCAGGCGAGTGCCCTGCCCGCCAGCCAGCAGCAGGACGGCCACCTTGTTCAGGGCGATCTGGCGGAAACCTGGGGGTACGCGCGCCGTGAAGGGACGGCCGGACCCGCCCACCCTTCCGCTTTAGGGCAAGCCAACCCTGGGGCCTGGGCTCGGGGACTCGGGGGCAGCATGCGTGAGGCGGGACCCGTCTCAAAGTAGTAGGGGGAACTCCACCTCCCCGAGCGCGGCCTCGGCTCCCACTCCCTCCGTGGGGCCTCCGCCCCTCCTACCTTCCTCCTCCCAGCGCCGCCGCGTCTTGGGGTCGCTGCGGCTGGCGCTGCCCAGGCGCTCGGGGGGCAGGGGCTGCAGGCGCGCGGCCAGGCCAGGCGGCGGGCCGGGGGGACGCGCACAGGCCTCGGCCGCCCTCCGGCAGTGCTCGCGCAGTGCCTCGGGCTCCAGGGGCGCCAGCTCCGCCAGCAGCGCGGCTCGCGGCTCCGGCGCCAGCTCCGCCCAGAAGCGCAGGAGGTGCTCCTGGCCAGAGCGCTGCAGCCGGGCGCGCACGTCTCGCTCCGAGGCCATGTCGCTGCCGCCGTCTGTCCAGTCGGCACTCGTGACTCGCGCCACTGACCAGCGTCACGGGACCGGGCGGGCGGTGCAGACACTCCTCGGGGCGGGTCTGGGGCGCCCCGCCTCGACCCAGCCCCGCGCCTGGCCCCGAAGCCCGCCCACCCCCGCTCGGGGCCCGGGATTCTGTCCGGGTTCTCTCTGACCCCTCCCTGTTCACGCCCCCCAGCCCCCCGCGTCCGAGACTGGAGTCCGGGCCCAGCCCCCTCGCTGCAGCCTGTCTCCTCTCCCTCTCCGTCCCCCGGACCCGCTACGGTGTCTCGCCCTGACCTCGTCCCTCGAGCTCCGGTCCCCGTTCCTGCCCTGCTCCAGGCCCCAAGCCCGTCCCGCCCCGTCCACTCCGCGCCCCGCCCCGAGGAATCCCAGGACCCTCAGGAGTGGGCGGAGGAACCTCAGGAGCCAAGGGAGGAAGGGGTCCCGGGGCGTCCCGCAGGGAAAGCTAAGTTCTGTCCCAGCACAGGCTTTGAACCTGAGAGTGGCGTGGCCACTTCTGCGCTAACCGAGACGCGGGCGGAGACCTCCTGGGGCAGAAACCATCCGCCAGGATGCATTGAAGAGGCCTGGGCTATGGTTGAGCTGTTGGGAGGGTGGAGCCAGACTGGGTGACGGGATGCCAGCATGGCGCCTGCAGGAAGCCACCCCCCCCACCCCCGCCTTGGGGCTCCGTCCCGCCCACCCTTCCCCCTTCCCACAGCCAGGCAACCAGAACCCTCCGCAGCCCATGGCCTGCATTGTTATTTTACTATCAGGTTGATTAAACTATCTTGCTTGTGGCTGGGCGCGGTAGCTCAGCCCTGCAATCCCAGCACTTTCAGAGGCCGAGGTGAGCGGATCTCCTGAGGTCAGGAGTTCAAGACCAGACTGGCCGACGTGGTGAAACCTGTCTATACTAAAAATACAAAAAGTAGCCGGGCGTGGTGGTGTGCGCCTGTGATCCCAGCTACTCAGGAGGCTGAGGCAGGAGAATCGAATCGCTTGAACTCGGGAGGCGGAGGTTGCAGTGAGCCGAAATCGCGCCACTGCACGCCAGCCTGGCGCCTGGTGACAGTGTGAGACTCTGTCTCAAAGTAAATAAATAAAAATACAATATTTTGCTAGTGAAAAACATGAAAGGGGCTGGGCGCAGTGGCTCATGCCTGTAATCCCAGCACTTTGGAAGGCGGAGGCAGGTGGATCACCTGAGGTCAGGAGTTTGAGATCAGCCTGACCAACATGGACAAACCCTCTTTACTAAAAATAGAAAAAAATTAGCTAGGTGTGGTGGTGGCAGATGCCTTTAATCCCAGCTACTCGGGATGCTGAGGCAGGAGAATCGCTTGAACCCAGGTGGTGGAAGTTGCAGTGAACTGAGATTGTCCTATTGCATTCCAGCCTGGGCAACAAGAGCAAAACTCCATCTCCCCCAAAAAAGAAAAAGAAAAACATGAAAGGGTATTTTCTGCAAATTGGGCACAAAACTTTCTCCTAGAAACTAGTTATAGTAAGTCTAAAATTAATACATGTGACTGCTTAAAAGAATTCAAATGGTGTCCAGGAGCAGTGGCTCATGCCTATAATCCCAGCACTCTGGGAGGCTGAGGCAGGATGATCGCTTGAGCCCAGGAGTTTGACAGCAGACTGGGCAAGGTGGTGGTACCCCATCTCCACTAAAAACAAAAATTAGCCAGATGTAGTGGCATTCACCTGTAGTGCCAGCTATTCGGGAGGATGAGGCACAAGAATCACTTGAACCTGGGAGGCAGAGGTTATAGTGAGCTGAGATGGTGCCACCGCACTCTAGACTGGGTGACAGAGCGAAACTCTGTCTAAAAGGAAAAACGAAGGCAGGGAACGGTGGCTCATGCCTGTAATCCCAGCACTTTGGGAGGCTGAGGTGGGTGATGACCTGAGGTTGGAAGTTGAAGACCAGCCTAGAGAAACCCCGTCTCTACTAAAAATATAGAATTAGCCGGGCATGGTGGCACATGCCTGTAGTCCCAGCTACTCGAGAGGCTGAGGCAGGAGAATTACTTAAACCCAGGAGGCAGAGGTTGCTGTGAGTGGAGATCGTGCCATTGCACTCCAGCCTGGGCAACAAGAGTGAAACTCTGTTTCAAAAAAATATATATACAAATCATGCTGTTAAAGAAAGGGGTCTCAGTGCAGACCCCAAGAGGGGGTTCTTGGATCTTACGCAAGAAAGAATTCAGGGCAAGCCTATAGAGAAAAGTAAAGGCAAGTTATTAGGATGGTAAAAGAATAAAGAATGGCTACTGTATAGACAGAGCAGCCCTGAGGGCTGCTGGGTGCACATTTGTATGCTTTTTTTGCTGATGTGCTAAACAAGGGCCTCCGCTTTGCAGACCACAGAGGGTAACTTCCTGGCGTGGCCATGGCGTCTGTAAACTGACATGGCGTTGGTGGGGTGTAGCAGTGAGGACGACCAGAGGTCACTGCCGATGCCATGCTGGCTTTGGTGGGATTTGGTCGGCTTCTTTACTGCAACCTGTTTTATCAGTAAGGTGTTGATGACTTGTATCTTGTGCCATCCTCCGGTCTCATCCTGTGACTTAGGGTGCCTTCACCATCTGGGAATGCCCAGTAGGTCTCAGCCTTACTTTACCCAGCTCCCATTCAAGATGGAGCTGCTGTGGTTCACACACCCCTGACAGTGATCTGGGACCCAAATGAAAACTCACATCTCCCTCATGTGGCCCTGCTGACCCCTCAAGCAGTGTGTCTCCTGGCAGGTGGGTTCTGCCCTCCCTCCACACGCATGCCCTTACTGTGTCGGGAAGGGGGCTTCACCGGGGCAAGGCCCAAATGCATTCTCCTGGACCTGCATGGAGTTGCTTTTCCCAGCGTAGGCTTGGGCCTGCCTCAGGGTCTCTGTACTTCCTATTCCTCCCTCCTGGACCGCTTGTCCCTAGACAAACACCTGGCTGGATGCCTGCTTCATCAGGCCTCAGCTGTCCAGGCTGTGCCCACTCAGTGAGCACCATTCTGTCCTCCGTGGCAGGCTGCCTTTCTGTGTTCTCTGCTCCCTAACACCCCCATGAGAAGTGAACCCATGAAGGTAGGGTGGTTTTTTTTTTAGATGGAGTCTCACTCTGTCACCACGCTGGAGTGTAGTGGCAGGATCTCTGCTTATTGCAATATCCACCCCCCAGATTCAAGTGATTCTCCTGCCTCAGCCTCCAAGTAGCTGGAATTACAGGCGCCTGCCACTAGGCCCAGCTAATTTTTGTATTTTCAGTAGAGACAGAGTTTCACTATGTTGGCCAGGTTGGTCTCAAACTCCTGACCCTGTGATTCGCCCGCCTTGGCCTCCCAAAGTGCTGGGATTACAGGTGTGAGCCACTGCGTCCGGCGGAGGCAGGACATTGTTTAAGCCACTGCTCTGCCCCCATCACCTCAGATCAATGCAGCACACAGCAGGCACTCAGTCAGTGCAGCACGCAGCAGGCAATCAGTCAATGCAGCACAGCAGGCACTCAGTCAGTGCAGCACGCAGCAGGCACTCAGTCAATGCAGCACAGCAGGCACTCAGTCAGTGCAGCACGCAGCAGGCGCTCAGTCAGTGCAGCAGGCAGCAGGCGTTCAGTCAGTGCAGCAGGCAGCAGGCGTTCAGTCAGTGCAGCACGCAGCAGGCACTCAGCAGGCAGCAGGCGTTCAGTCAGTGCAGCACGCAGCAGGCACTCAGCACGCAGCAGGAGCTCAGTCAGTGCAGCATGCAGCAGGCACTCAGTCAGTGCAGCATGCAGCAGGCACTCAGCACACAGCAGGTGCTCCGTCAGTGTAGCACACAGCAGGCACTCCTCAGTCAGTGCAGCACGCAGCAGGCGCTCAGTCAGTGCAGCACGCAGCAGGCGCTCAGTCAATGCAGCTCGCAGCAGGCACTCAGCACGCAGCAGGCGCTCAGTCAGTGCAGCACACAGCAGGCACTCCTCAGTCAGTGCAGCACGCAGCAGGCACTCCTCAGTCAGTGCAGCATGCAGCAGGCACTCCTCAGTCAGTGCAGCACGCAGCAGGCGCTCAGTCAGTGCAGCACGACAGGCGCTCAGGCAGTGCAGCACGACAGGCGCTCAGTCAGTGCAGCGCACAGCAGGCACTCAGTCAGTGCAGCGCACAGCAGGCGCTCAGTGAGTGCAGCATGCAGTAGGCGCTCAGTGAGTGCAGCACAGCAGGTGCTCAGTCAGCCAGCACGCAGCAGGCGCTCAGTCAGCGCAGCACGCAGCAGGCGCTCAGTCAGCGCAGCACGCAGCAGGCGCTCAGTCAATGCAGCACGCAGCAGGCACTCAGCACGCAGCAGGCACTCAGTCAGTGCAGCACACAGCAGGCACTCCTCAGTCAGTGCAGCACACAGCAGGCACTCCTCAGTCAATGCAGCACAGCAGGCACTCAGTCAGTGCAGCACACAGCAGGCACTCCTCAGTCAGTGCAGCACACAGCAGGCACTCCTCAGTCAGTGCAGCACACAGCAGGCACTCCTCAGTCAATGCAGCACAGCAGGCACTCAGTCAGTGCAGCACACAGCAGGCACTCCTCAGTCAGTGCAGCACACAGCAGGCACTCCTCAGTCAGTGCAGCACAGCAGGCGCTCAGTCAGTGCAGCACGCAGCAGGCGCTCAGTCAGTGCAGCACAGCAGTCGCTCAGTGAGTGCAGCACGCAGCAGGCACGCAGCACGCAGCAGGGGCTCAGTCAGTGCAGCACAGCAGGGGCTCAGTCAGTGCAGCACGCAGCAGGCGCTCAGTCAGTGCAGCACACAGCAGGCACTCAGTCAAAGTTTGCTGACTGAACGCAGGCCTAAACTGTGACTGGGCAACAGCAAATGTTTAGGGAGTACCTGCCGAAGGAATGAATGAACAAATGAATGAAGAAAGGGAGGAATGGTCTGTTCTACTCCAGTAGTTTGTGGTGGGTGAAATCGGCAGGTGGACGTTGCAGTTGAAGGATAGGCATGGCACACCCAGAGTCAGGTGAGCAGAGCGGGCTCCACACCCAGGCCAGAGTGCAAGGGAACGCTTATCACCCCTGCAGGGCTGGGCAGCACAGGAGGCACAGGTCTCCTGGAGGCAGGTATCAGGACATGAACCCTGGGCCCTCTAGGTCAGGTGATTCAAACCCCACCTCAAGGTGTGGGTTGGGCTGTAACAGACAGTTTGGAAAATCAAGGTCTGTGCAGCCAGAGGCACTGCGTTGCCAGAAGGGGAGGGACGCCTAGGGCATCTACCTAGGCAGATGGGTGGGAGTGCCCACAAGGCTGAGGTGGGCAGTAGCCTCCTGGACCACCTTGTGACCAGGCAGTTGTCTTCCCAAGGGGCTCAGAAGCCAGGAGTGCAGATGGGGAGCCCTGGGAGGCCCAGGTGCAGGGCAGCTGTTGCCAGTTCTTCACTTAGTGCCCAGTGCTGGTGGTACATCAGGGGTTCAGGGGCCAGTCTTCCTGCCACTCTGCCCAGAGTGGTCCAGGCTGGCACAGTGAGAACACAATTACAGCTGGGATGGGGGTCTCCAAAAGTACAGGGACTGCATGGGACCCCAGGAGTGACAGCAACACAACAAGCTGAAGGACTGGGACAATATCAGGCCAGGCTGGAAAGCGGAGTGCCAGGAGGAAGTGGTCGGAGCTCAGGACGGGAGGGACGCAGGGCCACAGCTCAGCCTCATGCCCAACGCCAGGCACAGCCTCCAGTCTTTGTTTTTTGAGATGAAGTTTCGCTCTTGTCACCCAGGCTGGAGTGCAACGGCGTGATCTCGGCTCACCACAACCACCACTTCCTGGGTTCAAGCAATTCTCCTGCCTCGGCCTCCATAATAGCTGGGATTACAGGCATGCACCACCATGCCTGGCTAATTTTATAGTTTTAGTAGAGAGAGGGTTTCTCTATGTTGATCAGGCTGGTCTCGAACTCCTGACCTCAGGTGATCTGCCCGCCTCGGCCTCCCAAAGTGCTGGGATTACAGGCATGAGCCACCGCACCCGGCCTCCAGTCTTTTTTATACGTCCCTCCAACACTCAGCCAGGGCACAGGGAAACCCACAGACCAAGGACCAGCTGGGGCCGCCTCCCACAAGGCTCTGGATGGTGTGAAAGGCCTTGTTTTGTCCGCACAAAACAATGAATGAATGAATGGCGTGTTCTACTCTGGTAGTTTGTGGTGGCTGAAGATCAGTTCTGTATGGTGGGTTCAGTTCCATCTGGGGCCGTGGTTAGCCTGGCCTGAACAATGCTGGCCATGCTGTCCTGAGCTGCAGTGCCTTCCTCACTGCTGGCCTCCACTGCCATCCTACTGAGTTGTTCCCAGGCCTTCCCCATCCCTTAGGCCTCAGCCTGTCTTGGTATCCACTCAAGGATGGTGTTTCCCATGTGACTTCACTAGATAAGGCTCCCCAGTGCCATCCACAGAGCACCCACTGTGGGCCAGGCCAATGCCAGGCCTAGAGGGAGCCCTACCCTGCTTCCAAATAGCCAGGGTAGACAGCCCCCAGCCCAGGAGAAAACCTCTCGGTGCTCTGAAGGTTGGGGCATCTAACCAGGCTTCAGGGGGAAGGGGATCGGGGCTGGAGCAGAGTTGTGAAGGATGCGGTGCAGTCAGCTGGAGCAGAGGGGAAGGGCCTTCCAGAGAGAAAAAGCCACCAGACGCAGGGGCGTGGAGGTGAGGGGGTGCAGGGACCCCAAGCCTGGCCGGTGGTGAGGGCTATGCTGGAAGCCTCGGGGACACAAGCTGCAGAACAAAGGGCTGCATCTTGTGCTGGTTTGTTTCGTTTTGTTGTAGAGACAAGGTCTCGCTCTGTCACCCAGGATGGAGAGCAGGGGCTCAAGCACAGCTCACTGCAGCCTCGACCTCTTGGGTTCAAGGGATCCTCCCACCCCCGCCTCCCAAGTAGCCGGAACCACAGGCATGCACCACCACACCTGGTTAATTTTTTAAATTTTTTGCAGAAACAGGGTTTCCCTGTGTTACCCAGGCTGGTCTTGAACTCCTGGGCTCAAGTGATCCTCCCGCCCTGGCCTTGTGCTGGGTTTTTGAGCAGACCTGCCATTCAAGGGGAAGCTGGTGGCTTCCAGGACTGAGCTCTGATCAGTTACCCCAGGCTCAGAGCTTCTTATGTCCTTCCAACATTCCTTACCATGAAAAAGTCCCACTTAGAGTGAGTGACCCAGAAGAGAAGTGGACCCAGAACGCTCCCTGGCCTGGGAAGCTGCTCCTAAGGCTTGAGACACAGGCACCTGTGGCTCGGGTAGGCATGCCAGCTGAGGCCTGCCCAGGAGGAAGGAAGGGAGGGAGGCCCGTAGAGGGCCAAGGAAAGTCCCAGGTTGGGGGCCTCTCTGGAGAGGGTGTTTGCATCCTGAACACCTCCCTGGCACCTAGAGGGTGCTACCAGCCAGCCCTGAGATGGGCTCCCAGAGCTAGAACGCTGGGTAAGGCCTGTTCTCACCTCCCATGTGGACTGACCAGATGGAGACAGAGTGACCAGATCCCAGCTGGAAACACAGCACAGGCAGAGGGACAGGGCTCTGGGAGCCAGGAGAGCAGCTGGAGGTGTCCAGCCCGGGGAAGGAGCAGAGGAGAGCAAGAGGTGGGGGAGCTGGTCACCAGATGGGGATCTGGGGACACAGGAGAAACTGGCTTTGTCCTGCAGCGGGCAGGCCAGGCCAGACTGTCCCGAGGGGCCAGAGGAGGAGCTAGCAGCGGTGGGGACAGAGAGGCCTCTGTGAACAGGAAGCGCCCAGCTGGCTGGAGTCTACGATCCTTCTGGGGCCCTCCCGGTGGAAGAAAAGGGGGCCGCAGGGTCGCCAGTGCTTGTGGCCAGGGAGCTAGAGGGGGAAAGTGGGACCTTTGGAGGGAGTGCGCCCCATCCTTACCCCACAAGGCTCCTGGGGACGTCTTTTTGTAGGGTCAAAGGCCCCGCCCCTTGAAGAGGTGGCCCGGGCAGCCAGCCACAGCTGGACCGGAGAAAAGGCTAAGCCGCGGCAGGAGGGCTGGTGGGGCTGGGGCGGGGCAGAAAGGGAGGCCCGCGAGGCCGGAACGGAGCGGGAGCGCGGGGATCCGGTTCCGCCTGCCCAGGGCCTCCGCGCGCCTCCCAGGGCCCCTCGGCGGAAAAAAAAAAAAAAAAAAAAAAAAAAAAAATCAAACCGCCTCTCAGCCAATCGGGGAGCAGACGGGACGGTCTCGGCCAATGGCCGCCGCGCATGCTAATGAGGGCCGACGCCGCGAGGAGGGCCCGGTTCAAAAGTGGTGGCTATTGTCGCTGAGGGCTGAGCGCGCCGGGCCGGCCCCACCGTGGGGCCGCGCGGGACGCACGCGGGTGGACGCGGGGATCTAGCCCATGGCCGGGGCCGCCACGGCCGAGCGGGGCCGCGTGCCTCCCTCCGCGCCCGCGCCCGCGCCCAGCACCGAGGGGCTCCCGCGCGCCTTCCTGCAGAGCCTGCGCACCCTGTTCGACATCCTGGACGACCGGCGGCGCGGCTGCGTGCACCTGCGCGAGATCGAGTCCCGCTGGCAGGGCGCCGACGCGCGCGAGCTGCCCCGCGGCGTGCTCGAGGGCCTGCGCCGGGTGGCCCCGGCCAGCGGCTACCTGACCTTCGAGCGCTTCGTGGCCGGCCTGCGGTCCTCGCTGCTGAGCGCCGACGGCGGCCCTCGGGATCCCACGCGCGCCCCGGTCCGGCCCGGGGACCAGCCGCCGCCGCCGCGGCCGCCGCAGCGCCTGGTGTTCGGGCCGGCGGACGAGCCGCGGACTGTTCTGGAGAGGAAGCCCCTGAGCGCGCGCGCCCCTCCTGCCGGCCCCAGCGTCGCGGCCCGCAGCCCGGAGCAGCTGTGCGCCCTGGCCGAGGCGGCGGCCTGCCCCGCGGAGCCCGAGCGGCCCCAGAGCGCGGCACTGGAACGGAGCCCGAGCGCGGACGCAGGTGAATTCCGAGCGGCCCCCGGGGCCCCCTCGTATCTCTCCCCGGGTCAGGGCAGAAAGCGGAGTCCCGCAGCTGCTGCCCGTGCATCTTCCACGAGGGAAGGGGCTGGGGAGCGGGTCTTCGTGGGCCTGGAGGGAAAGGGGCTTCATGCCTGTTGACGTGAGCCCAGGAGTTAGGGAGGCAAGCCAATCTCTCTCCTGCCACAGCGTAAGGCCAACAGGGGCGGGGTGGGGGTGGGGTCGCAGGGTGGGTGGCAGGTGACTCAGAAAACCCACAGGGAGCCCACCCTGTGCCAAACCTGAGCTTGGGCTCCCCACCTCCGGTACCTTTTCTGCACCCAGGGACACCTGGGCCCTCAGCTTCCTTGTCTCTCTGGCGGAGGCGCCTCCCTCTCAGAGAGAGGATCCCCCTTCTCAGCCTGACAGCTCAGCCAGGGGAGCTGGGCCCACTGACCCCACTGAGGTCCAGGCAGGATGGGGCTGCTGCAGGTGGCCCCAGAGGACCTGGCCCTGTTGCCAGGATGGGCAGGAGCATGGGTGGGTCTCCTGCACCCCAGTAGGGCTGTCCCATGGCAGACGCCGTGGAGGGACACAGGCTGTAGTCCCTGGGGACGGCTGGCAGACTCCTCTCCTGCCTTCCAGTCCCGTTGGCAGTGACGGGAGATCGCTGAATGGGCCCCTGTCTCCCCCTACCCAGTGCCTGCCTTGGGAACAGGACCTGCATTATGGCTGGGGGTGGGGGCCAAGCTCCCAGAGGAGCCCCAGTCCCCACAGCCCATTCAGCCAGTGCACCTGTTTTGCCAGGTGCAGCCTGCCCACCAGCAGCCACTGTCGGTCCCCGCTGCTCTGCCACCCTCCTTGGACTGCTCCCCTGACTCAGCCATATTCACCAGCCCTGCAAATGGTGTTTTCGGCCACGGTGGCCCTGGCTTCCCTGGTAAACTGATCCAGCAGCCGTCCCAGGCTGGCGGACCCCACATTCTGTGGTGAGGAGGGTTTGGAGTGTAGCTGGCTCCAAAGCAGGGTCAGTGTCATCACGTGGCCACGTGGTGTGAAATCAACCATGGATTGCACACAGTGGCGGGGCCTGGGGTCTGGAAGCCTAAGCCTGAAGTCCAGCCCTGCTCTGATGTCCCACGTGGCCCTGGGTCACGTAACACACCTCTCTGAAGGTCACGTGGCTAGGGCTCTAGCTGTCACCCTCTCACAGGCAAATGGAGGGCCAGACAAGTGGTGTGGCATGTTTGATTGACACAGCTGACTTTTGGGGTGCCAAATCTGGAGCTCTGGGGTCACCCCAACTCCCAGAATGCCTCTTGACACACACAGCTTTCCAAGCTCGCAGCGTAGAAGCTCAGGGTCTCTTTCCTTCCTCCTACCTGGGACTGCGTGTTTGCTCCAGGCTGGCCGAGGCCCTGGAGGTGTGGCCTGCTGGCTCAGGGCCCTGGAGGGGCTGGGCTGCCCCCACCTAGAGACCATCCAGCTCTACACCCACCATGCTGTCATCTGGGGACCCGGGAGCTGCTCTATGAACTTGATTGCACAGACCAGGCCAGGCGTCCTAGGGCTTCCTCCTCAGCTTCCCTCTGTCCATATGCTCTCTGCCCCCACCTCCTGGAGGCTGTGTGACTCCCACTGTCTTGCCCCAGAGCTGCCACCACTCAGCACCGAAGGCTGGAGCGATAACTTGGGCCTGCGTGGAGCCAGGCTCTCTGCCATGCCTACCTGGGCCCAGTTCTTACATCACCAGGTACAGGGGCACAGCCTCCAAGGATGTGTCTGGTGCTGGGGTGATGGCTGGAGGCTGGAGGGTGCCCTACTCCACAGCTGTACCCACGTCTCCTGTAGACTGGGAGGGCACATGTACTTCCTCACCAGGAAGCTGGGCTGGAGTGCCACCAGCATGCTGCTCTTGCTGCCCCCAGGGGAAGCCCTCCGGTCAGCTTCAGAGCAGGTGTCCGAGACATCTACCGGTGCACATCTACCTGTGCACAGCCTGGTCTATCACACACGCCTGCGGCTTTTTTTTTTTTTTTGAGACAGAGTCTGACAGCAGTGCAGTGACATGAATCTCGGCTCCCTGCAACCTCCACCTCCCAGGCGAAGGTTCAAGCGATTCTCCTGCCTCAGCCTCCTGAGTAGCTGGGAATGCAAGCACCCACCACCACCCCTGGCTAATTTTTGTATTTTTAGTAGAGACGGGGCTTCACCATGTTGGTCAGGCTGGTCTCTCTCAAACTCCTGACCTCATGATCTGCCCGCTTAGGCCTCCCAAAGTGCTGGGATTATACGTGTGAGCCACTGAGCCTGGCCACTTTTTTTTTTTCTTTTTTTGAGATGGATTTTTGTTTGAGCTCTTGTTGCTCAAGCTGGAGTGCAGTGGCATGATCTCGGCTCACTGCAAACTCCACCTCCCAAGTCCAAGCGATTCTCCTGCCTCAGCCTCCAGAATAGCTGGGATTACTGGCGTGCACCACCACACCTGGCTAATTTTTGAGACGGAGTCTTGCTGTGTCACCAGGCAGGAGTGCAATGGCACGATCTTGGCTCACTGCAACCTCTGCCTCCCAGGTTCAAGCGATTGTCCTGCCTCAGCCTCCTGAGTGACTGGGCCTACGAGTTTGTCATCACACCCAGCTAATTTTTGTATTTTTAGTAGAGAGGGGGTTTCTCCATATTGGCCAGGCTGCTTTTGAACTCCTGACCTTGTGATCCGCCCGCCTTGGCCTCCCAAAGTGCTGGGATTACAGGCATGAGCCACCACACCTAGCCCCCGGCTAATTTTTATATTTTTAGTGGAGATGGGGTTTCACCACGTTGGGTCAGGCTAGTCTCAAACTCCTGACCTCAAGTGATGTAACTGCCTCAGCCTCCCAAAGTGCTGAGATTACACGTGTGAGCCACTGTGCCCAGCAAGAGACTTTATTTTTTTTGAGATGGAGTTTTGCTCTTTCGTCCAGCCTGGAGTGCGGTGGCACGATCTCAGCTCAGTGGCACCTCTGCCTCCCAGGCTCAAGCAATCTTCCTGCCTCAGCCTCCCAGGTAGCTGGGACCACAGGTGCATGCCACTGCATCTGGCTAATTTTTTAATTTCTAATAGAAATGGGATTTTGCTGGCCGGGTGCAGTGGCTCACGCCTGTAATCCCAGCACTTTGGGAGGCTGAGGTGGGTGGATTACCTGAGGTCAGGAGTTCAGGACCAGCCTAGCCAACATGGTGAAACCCCATCTCTACTAAAAAATAAAAAAATTAGCTGGGCATGGTGGCAAGCACCTGTAATCCCAGCTACTCGGGAGGCTGAGGCAGGAGAATTGCTTGAGCCTGGGAGGCAGAGGTTGCAGTGAGCCAAGATCACATCATTGCACTCCAGCCTGGGCGACAAGAGTGGAACCTGGTCTTGGGGAAGAAAGAAAAAAGGGCCAGGTGCAGTGGCTCATGCCTGTAATCCCAGCATTTTGGTCAGGAGATAGAGACCATTCTGGCCAACATGGTGAAACTTTGTCTCTACTAAAAATACAAAAATTAGCCCTGCACAGTGGCTTGCACCTGTAATCCCAGCGCTTTGGGAGGTTGAGGCGGACAGATCACCTGAGTTCAGGAGTTCGAGACCAGCCTAACCAATATGATGAAACCCCGTCTTTACTAAAAATACAAAACCTAGCCAGGCATGGTGGTGTGTGCCTGTAATCCCAGCTACTCAGGAGGCTGAGGCAGGAGAATCGCTTGAACCAGGGAGGTGGAGGTTACAGCAAGCTGAGATTGCGCCACTGCACTCCAGCCTGGGTTACAAGCAAAACTCCATTTCAAAAAAAACAAAAACAAAAATTAGCCAGGCATGGTGGCGGGCACCTGTAATCCCAGCTACTCGGGAGTCTGAGGCAGGAGAATTACTTGAGCCTGGGAGGCAGAGGCTACAGTGAGCTGAGATTGTGTTATTGCACTTCAGCCTGGGCAACAAGAGTGAAACGCATCTCAAAAAAAAAAAAAAAAAGAAAGAAAGAAAGAATAGAAAAGGAAGGAAAGAAAGAAGAAATGGGGTTTGCCATGTTGTCCAGACTGGTGTTGAATGCCTGAGCTTGAGTGATCCACCCACCTCAGCCCTGAAAATGCTGGGATTCCAGGCCATCGTACCCGCCCGTGCAGGACTACCTTTCTGTCGCACTCACCATTCTGGGAAAAGTTAAGTTTCCGTCATTCACGCCCACATCTCCTGCCGCCCTACAGGGCCCCAGGCAGATGGGAGAGGAATAGTCAGGACCAGAGCCCCCTGCCCACTCCTCCCTTACCCAGCTGCCTTGGAGACCCGGGTGTGCTAGCAATGTTCTGGGCACAGGGGGGTGCAGAAAAGAGCTGGATGAGGCCCTTGGCCCCAGGGAGCTCACGGCCCAAGGTGGGGGCAGGGAGTATATATGAGCAAACAGGCAGGCTTGGTGGGCAGCCTTCCCCAAGCCAGTGTGAGGAGCCGGGCCAGGGGAGAGGGACCAAACTCCAGCCTGGCACAGAGGTGACACGTGGGTCACGCCAGGCCGGTGCCTGAGACCTTGAGGGTGAGCCAAGATGTGGAGGCCGCTGCACCTCAGCAGAGCCCAGCCAGGCAGGTCTGGAGGTGAGCTTGGTCCGTGCCCCCCCACCCCAGGTGCAGCGGCCTGCAGAGCCCTGGAGACAGACTCAGGGGATGCCCAGCGGGCCCCCCGTGCCCGAGGGGAACGTCGGAGGCACACCATCACCAGTGGCGTGGACTGCAGCCTGGTGAGCAGGGGCTGGGGCTCCGCAGGGCTCTCCCTCTTGCCTGGAGGCTGAAGGCCAGGGTGGGAGCAGGGGGTCTTGGTCCTGGGGAAGCCCGTGGTGTGAGTACGGTCAGCTCTGCACATCTGTCTCCCTACCTGGGCTTGAATCCCCTGGAGGGATGGCCCAGGGTCAGGCAGACGGAGGTCAAGAGGTCATTTAGGGCAGCTACGGGTGACTGCCCAGTCCGCCTCACCAGATCACTGCTGCAAGCCAGCCCAGCTCACCAGCAGTATGCTCAGCACAGGTAGACCCTAGGAGGGCAGGCTGAGCTCAGGGGTCAGTCACCCTCTGCCCAGGGATGCCTGAGTGGAGGGGCTGAGAAAGGCCAGGACCCCTCAGCAGGAGGCACGGGGCTTACATGTGCAGGAGTTCTCGGAAGTGTGCATCTGTGCCTGGATTTACTGCTGCATTTGTGCTGGTAGCTCTGGGGCCCATGCACAGGCGGGCTTGTGCCTGCCGGGATGTGCGCATGCTCATGGGGGGTATACGGGGGGTATACATGCCTGAGGGGACATGTGCGTGCTCTCGGAGGGTATACGTGTTCATGGGGGGTATACCGGGGGGTACACGTGCCGCATGCTCACGGAAGCTGGGCACACCATGTAAATGCACGTGTTGCAGCTGAAGCAGATGAAGGAGCTGGAGCAGGAGAAGGAGGTGCTGCTGCAGGGTCTGGAGATGATGGCACGGGGCCGTGACTGGTACCAGCAGCAGCTGCAGCGAGTGCAGGAGCGACAGCGCCGCCTGGGCCAGAGTAGAGCCAGCACCGTGAGTGCCATTGCCCCAGCCACAGGTCCCCACACATGGGGACCCCAGCTAGCCCCAGGCACCCCTATTACGGCTGCCCCATTCCAGGACACAGTGGCTGTCAATTCCACCCAGGGAGCTGGGACATCCCTTTTCTCCCCTGGTGCTGCCCCATTCCTAGGGGCTAAGGTGCCCTGGACACAGCTCCCACCTCAGCAACACCCCTGGGACCCATCTAGGCTCTCAGCAACATTGGGGGCCCCCATCAAGGCACAGTGCTGGCCCTGGCTGGCCCTCCTCTCTGACCACTTGTCCTCTGTTTTCTCCCCAGGACTTTGGGGCTGCAGAGAGCCCTCGCCCACTGGGGCGACTCCTGCCCAAGGTACAGGAGGTGGCCCGGTGCCTGGGGGAGCTGCTTGTTGCAGCCTGTACCAGCCAGGTGAGTGTGCCCCAAACCTCCACGCCCACGCTGGGGCCCAGACTAGGTTAATGCTTCCCAGACTTCGTCCCAGCCTGCCTAATCCTGCCTTCCTGCAGGCCCTGCCAACGTCCTCCTCTGGGCCCCCCTGCCCTGCCCTGCCGTCGACTTCGTCCCCAGGCTGGCAGCAGCAGACCATCCTCATGCTGAAAGAGCAAAACCGACTCCTCACCCAGGTAAGGCAGCCAGGAGGGGTGTGGGCGGGGACTCCTCACCCAGGTAAGACAGCCGGGAGGGGCATGGGGTTGGGGGTGAAGCCCTGCAGGCCTTGACCAACAGTGTACCTGCCCAGGAGGTGACGGAGAAGAGTGAGCGCATCACACAGCTGGAGCAGGAGAAGTCGGCGCTCATTAAGCAGCTGTTTGAGGCCCGGGCCCTGAGCCAGCAGGATGGAGGGACTCTGGACTCCACCTTCATCTAGCCTGTGAGGGGCGAGCAGGCCCCGGGGCTGGCCTGGCGCTCAGCCCTTCGAGGGCGGGCGCCCTGTCGCACCCACACTCTCTGGCTGGAGACCCCGGCAGGCCCAGGCCCAGTCCCTGAGTGGGCGCCTTCCTGTTCCCCTTGCCATCCAGGCTCCTCAGGCCTGCCCCAGCCTGGCACTGAGCCCTTGACTCTGTTTTGGCTTCTGGTGCTGACATGGGCTGGGGCTCTCTTGAGTCTGCATTGCTTGCAGCGACTCCTGCCGCTGTCAGTGGACTTCCCACAGCGGCCAACAGATGAAGCAGTGCACTTCCCACAGCGGCCAACAGAGGGAGCTGGCGGCTCCGACGCGGGTCCCAGGGCAGCTTCCCTCCATCAGCCTGGGCTCAGGACAGGGTGGCTGTGGCTCGGACGGAGCAATGAAGGGGGTGGGGGGGCCCTAAGTGGGGGTGCCCTCCTGGCAGGGCAGTCCCAGGGACGGCGGTCAGACTTCAGGTCCTGGCCAAGGCTGAGGGACTCTGCCTGAGCGGATCTGGGAGCCAGGTGGGCGAGAGCGTGGGCTGCCTGTGTAGATCCCGGGTGTGGCCTTCTTCACCCCAGCCAGGACGCTGCCCCGCGTGGAGTCCCATAGAACAACCTGTGAACCTGGCTCCCCAGGAGGGCCGTATCCACAGGATGGGGGGGGTCAGCCTGGGCCCCCAGACAGCTCCCAGGCACGTTGCAGGCAGAGCCTGTCCCCCACACTCAGGATTCCTGAAGTCTGGGGTCCTGCTCACCCCGTTTTCCTCCCATGCCTAGCCTGACCCCAGGTTTCAGCAGGGAGAGGCTACTTCCCTCAGCCAAGGAAAAGGAGAAGCCCCAGAGTATAGGAGGAGGCTGGGGCAGGTCCCCTTGGGTGTCACGCCCTGCCCCGGCTCAGTCCCGCGGGTGCTGGAGTGGTCACTGGTCGGGGACCCAGTGCCACCAGAGCCAGGGGCACAGCAATGTCATGGGCAGGTTCTGCAGCCCAGGGCCCCCAATGTGGAATCAGTGTGTGGGGGGTGCAGGGACCCCAGTACAGGGTCAGTGTGTGTGGGATGCAGACACCTCCATGTGGGGTCAGTGTGTGTGGGGTGCAGGATCAGTGTCGGGGTGGTGTAGACACCTCCATGCAGGGTCAGTGTGGGGGGGGCACAGAGACCCCTCATGTCCAGGGTACTTTGGTGTACTGTCCCAGAGGAGGGGTCCTGGCAGGCAGTGCAGCAACTCGCTTCTGGAACCCAGCTCCACATTCACCTGCCTACAGCAACCCCACGGAGCCACGTTCCCCCCTGCACCCAGCCTGCCAGGGATGTCCCAAGACAGGCCCAAGCCAACCCAGGGTACAGCTGCCCTCCTTGCCTGAGGATGGGAGTGGACTTTCTAGGGGACATGAGGATGCCAGGCCTGGACCTCCTGGGCAGGAAAGGAAGAGGGTTCCAAAGGCCTGTGCCCCCCATCTCCAGCACCAGGTAGACTGCTGCACAGTGGGTGAGCTAGCAACAGTAGAGAGAAGCCCCCTCCCCCATCAGCAGCAGGCTGAGGTCTGCCCACTAGGGCCTCCCCACATTTGTCTTTGAGGGTGCCTGCCATGCCCTGGGGGATCCTGGCATCCTTACAGGACTGGAAGCAGGAGACCCAACCATGTCAGTCCCAGGGTGACCTCATCAGAAGACCGCCCACAGAGAGCTGGACCCCGAAGCTAAAGCAGAAATGTGAGATAGGCTGGCACCTCCGGAAAAACTGCCTCTCAGCCTTTGGTTCCATGCAAGGTGAAGAAAAATAGGTCCTCCAAGTTTACAGCTTGAAATCAGGCTATTGTGTGTTCCAAGAGGCCATGGGCTGTGAAGGTAAAGTGGCCCCTGTTGGCAGGGCCCAGGTGGCTGGCAGAGCTACATGCACACCCTGCCTGGAGCCCACCCTGGTGACACTGATGAGTCAGTCTCCATCCAGGATGTGAGCAGCATCCCTGGCCTGTATCCATGAGGTGCCAGTAACATGTACAGGATCATCCACGCGTGTGCACACACAGTTATGTCACCCACAAACGTCTCAGGATGTCAAAATAAGTCCCTAGGGGCAGAAGTGCCCTGGTTGAGGATCTGCCCCAGAGGAACACAACCACACCAGGCCTCAGGATTTTGTGTTGGCCAAGTTCCATGGAAAAGGGACATCTCAGCCGGGCACGGTGGCTCACGCCTGGAATTCCAGCACTTGAGACCAGGAGTTCGAGACCAGCCTGGGCAACATAGTGAAAGACCCCATCTGTACACAAAAGAAAATGAGATACCCAGTTCTAAAAATTCATAAACATTCAAAACAGTACACTGAGACCCAGCAGAAACAACAGATAGACTCTAGACACAGATACTGGAATATCAAGAGAATATACAGTAACTTTTATATATCTACAGAAATAAAAGAGGTTTCTGGAAATACAAACAAGGAATGGTATTGATAGTTTCTTGCTCCATAAAAAGCATGATCTTGCTGGGTATGGCAGCTCAAGCCTGTAATCCCAACACTTTGGGAGACTGAGGTGGGCAGATCACAAGGTCAGGAGATTGAGACCAGCCTGGCCAACCTGGTGAAACCCTGTCTCTACTAAAATAAATTAGCTGGGTGTGGTGTTGGGCACCTATAATCCCAGCTACTGGGGAGGCTGAGGCAGGAGAATTGCTTGAACCCAGGAGGCAGAGGTTGCAGTGAGCCAAGATCTCACCACTGCAGTCTCAAAAAAAGGAAAAAAAAGCTAGGTGCAATGGCTCATGCCTGTAATCCCAGCACTGTGGGAGGCTGAGGTGGGAGGATGGCTTGAGCCCAGGAGTTTGTGACTAGCTAGGGCAATGTGGCAAGACTCCATCTTTTACAAAAAAAAAAAAAAAAAAGGGGAATTGGTGTGCAGGGTCCAGCCCCACAGGGTCTAGTGGGTGCTCTTTTGTGTGCGGAGATGATAGATCGCAGGAAAGAAAGACACAGAGATAAGAGAAGAATTCAGCTGGGCTGGGGGACCACTGCCACCAAGAGGCTGAGTCCAGCAGTGGCCCCAATGCCTGGATATTTATTGTATACAAGGCAGGGGGCAGGGCCGGAGAGTGACTCATCTGATGTGATTGATAGGGTCATGTAAATCACGTGCTTACAGTACAGGGGCCCCTCTCAGGTAGCTGCTGCCTGAGAGAGCAGCACACACGTCAGCATTTTTCTACACACTTATCAGAAAGGTTAAAGGCTTTTTTTTTTTTTTTTTGATACGGAGTTTCGCTCTTGTTACCCAGGCTGGAGTGCAATGGCGCAGTCTCGGCTCACCGCAACCTCCGCCTCCTGGGTTCAGACAACTCTCCTGCCTCAGCCTCCTGAGTAGCTGGGATTACAGGTACGCACCACCATGCCCAGCTAATTTTTTGTATTTTTAGTAGAGACGGGGTTTCACCATGTTGACCAGGATGGTCTCAAACTTTTAACCTCCTGATCCCCCCGCCTCGGCCTCCCAAAGTGCTGGGATTACAGGCGTGAGCCACCGCACCCAGCTAGGTTAAAGGCTTTTAGGATTCTCCTGCTCTTACTTCTTACCACTTCTAAGAACTGAAAAGGAGAGCCAGGTGGGAAAGCGAAACCTGAAAGTGGATGAGGATGGTGACCATCAGAACATAGCACCACGGAGAGGTGTTTAAGCCCCTGGATGTCCGCGCCAGCCTGTCTAGTGTCAGGCCTTCCTCAAGAGCGGAGTAGAGTAGTGTGTTCTCTGAACTCCCCCAGTGAAAGGGAAACTCCCCTTCACGGCCTGCTAAGTGACTGCTAAGTAACGGGTGCCTTCCCAGGCACTGGCGTTACCCCAAGGCCTGCCTGCTAAGTAACGGGCACCTCCCCAGGTGCTGGCGCTACTGCAAGGCTCTCACTCTTGTCTCCTGATCACTCCTCACAATGTCCCTTCAGTTCCTAATTATATTTCATCTGGTTGTTTCTATACCATAAGACTAGAATGTCTTTATGCTATAATACTAAAGATTAATAATGGTTTAATAAGATTGATTATGTAACTGATTATGATTGTTTCTAAACATATTTGGCATCAATGCTAAAAGTAAGCAATCAGTTATTTATGATTCTGGGATAGACTGTGCCTTCAGTCTCTTGCCTTGGCACCTGGGCGACTTTCTCCCCACACTGGTGAATCTGTGGTCCCAGCCCCTGGGGGGCATCATGTGAGCCCAGGAGGTTGAGGCTGCAGTGAGCTATGATTGTGCCACTGCACTCCAGCCAGCCTGGGTAACAAAGCAAGACCCCATCTCTTTTAAAAAAAAAGAGAGAGAATTGAAAGAGTTTAGGAGGCTGGGCGCGGTGGCTCACGCCTGTAATCCTAGCACTTTGGGAGCCGAGGTGGGTGGATCACCTCAGGTCAGGAGTTCAAGACCAGCCTGGCCATCATGATGAAACCCCATCTTTATTAAAAAGAAAGAAAGAAAGAAAAAGAAAGAAAGAAGAAAGAAAGAAAGAAAGAGAAAGAAAGAAAGAAAGAAAGAAAGAAAGAAGAAAGAGAGAGAGTTTAGGAAATATCATCCAGAACATAGCGCAGAGAGAGAGGAGATGGGAAATGGGAATGAGGGGCAGAGGGCTATGGATGAAGGTAAGAGGGAGCCGCCCATAATCCCAGCACTTTGGGAGGCCGAGGTGGGTGGATAATGAGGTCAGGAGATGAGACCATCCTGGCTAACAAGGTGAAACCCTGTCTCTAAGCCAGGCGTGGTGGCACACACCTGTAGTCTCAGCTACTTGGGAGGCTGAGGCAGGAGAATTACTTTAACCTGGGAGGTGGAGGTTGCAGTGAGCCGAGATCACGCCACTGTAGTCCAGCCTGGATGACAGAGCAAGAGTCTCTCTCAAAACAAAACAAAAAACTGGGCACGGTGGTGCACACCTGTAACCCCAGCACTTTGGGAGGCCAAGGCGGGCGGATCACCTGAGGTCAGGAGTTGGAGACCAGCCTGACCAACATGGTGAAATCTCATCTTTAAAAAAAAAAGGTAAATTTAGTAAAATAGGAAACAAACATTACAGAAACTTGGTTGAGAAAAAGTACACAAAACATCTGGTTAGAATTAATCAAGAAAATGAGATAAGGCACAAATAATTGGTATCAGGAATAAAAAAGAGGGAAATGGCCACACGTGCTGCAGAAGTTAAGCTGATTCTAAAAGAACATTTTAAATGAGGAGATGCACACTCAGTCTCAAATGCATCTCCCTGACTGACTAAAATGAGGGGTTTACAGAGCAGGGAAGCAATGTAACCAGGTGTGAGAAAACAGGAATCAGGGCAGCTGGGGAAGGAGCTGGTCAACAGGAAGCTGGTGGTTGGTCAGGCAATCTTGATGGGGGTGGGAGGGATGGGGGGCCTGGCTTCTCATTGTCCAGATACTGTGATGAGTGAGTTTTAGCTCTTCCGTTCTATCTTCGAGCACTGATGGTTGGTTTCCTGAGAAAGGAACTCAATTAGGACAAATGTCACTTTCTCAAATCTTAAGACTAGAAGGATCAATTTCAGTGTTTATTCAAATAAACCATAAGGATCAGTTCCCAGCTACTCAGGAGGCTGAGGCTGGAGGATTGCTTGAAGCTAGGAATTCAAGACCAGCCTGGGCAACATAGTGAGGCCCCCATCTCTAATAAAAGGAGACAGGAGGCTGGTTTTGGTGGCACACCTATCATCCCAGCACTTCAGGAGGCCAAGGCAGGTGGATCCGTTGAGGTCAGGAGTTCAAGATCAGCCTGGCCAACATGCCGAAACTCTGTCTCTACTAAAAATACAAAAATTAGCTGAGTGTGGTGGCTCACGCCTGTAGTCCCAGCTACTCAAGAGGCTGAGACAGGAGAATCACTTGAACCCAGGAGGCAGAGGTGCAGTGAGCCAAGATTGCGCCACTGCACTCCAGCCTGGGCAACAGAGTAAGAGTCTGTCTCAAAATAAAGAAAGAAAGAAAGTAAAATAAAGGAGATGGGAGAACCTGGTTCTAAAATTTCCATGGGGCTTGGCACCGTGGCTCATGCCTGTAATCCTGGCACTTTGGGAGGCTGAGGCAGGTGAGTAGATAACGTGAGGTCAGGATTTCAAGAACAGCCTGACTAATATGGCAAAATCATCTCTACTAAAAATACAAAAATTAACCAGGTGTGGTGGCGTGCACCTGTAGTCCCAGCTACTTGGGAAGCTGAGGCAGGAGAATTGCTTGAATCTGGAAGGCAGAGGTTGCAGTGAGCCGAGATCCCACCACTGCACTCCAGCCTTGGCAATAGAGTGAGAATCCATCTCAAAAGATAAATAAAAATTAAATAAAATTTCCATGGTCAAGCAAAGGACACAGAACAGCCCCGTGGAGGAATGGACTGAAGGCGTCGTCCCTCTTCCCGGAGGTCAAGCCATGCTGGAAGGCTCTGGAGAGGAGGTCTGAGCGGTGGAGGGTGCTCAGCTAATGAAGAGAGACCCCAAACAGAGCCCTGTGCTGCAGCTGGCCCGGGTGGGGTGGGAGGCTGCGTAGACACCGCACAGGGGGCCATGTGACAAGTGGCGCTGGGACAGCTGGTTCTGCACATGGGAAAAGGTGAGCCGGAGCCTTTCCTCACATCCTGCACATAAACACCACCTCCAGGAGGATCGAAGCTGTGATCAGCAAAACCAGAAAGCCTTCAGGAAGCATGAGGGGAGAGTATCTTGATGATCTCATAGCAGATTACTCAGACGTAACCCCAGAGGAGCAAGGAGAACTTTCACAATTTAACGGCCGCAGGACCGGGTTCAAGACACAAGGGCGTCTGCAAGTCAGCAGGAGCAAGGCAAGCAACCCCAGCCAGTGGACAGGAGCCGTGGAGCGTGGCTTCGCCAGAGACACCATGAGACGCCCCCTCTCTTTGGGAACAGGGGAAACGCATATTAAAGTCTCAATGAGACACTGTTTCGCCCTCAGCAGCTTCCCCGAAATCCCAACGTTGCACAACACCAGATGCTGATGAAGATGTGGAGCAGCCAAAATCGTCACGCTCACGGCGCAGCTGGAGCCATCATTCAGAAAATAACTTGGCACTCGCTGGAGAAGCTGAACACACACTCGAATTACAACCAGCAACTCTGTTCTGGGACAGAGAAGTGCTCACAAGACTGCACATGTGTGGCCGGGCGCCGTGGCTCACGCCTGAAATCCCAGCACTTTGGGAGGCTGAGGCATCACCTGAGGTCAGGAGTTTGACACCAGCCTGGCTAACATGGTGAAACCTTGTCTCTACTAAAAATACAAAATTAGTCAGGTGTGGTTGTGGGCTGTGCTGAGGCTCTGAGGACCCTCCCGGGGGTTCTCCCTGAACCTCTCTGCCTGTAATCTGAGCTACTTGGAAGGCTGAGGCAGGAGAATCACTTGAACCCAGGAGACAGAGGTTGCAGTGAGCCGGGATCGTGCCACTGAACTCCAGCCTGGGCGAGAGAGACTCCATTTAAAAAAAAGAGTGCACATGTGCAGAGCAGCAATCTCAGCACAGCCGAAAGCAGACACTGCGTTCAGTAGCTGCAGCAACACGCCATCCTCATGTTCTCACTCACAGGATGGAACAGAGCACGAAACAAACAAGCCACACCTTTCAGTGTCTACAGGGTGAATCCCAAACTCGGAATGTGATGAAAGAAGCAAAGCACATCCAGCACCTCAGATACCACTGATAGGGTCCTGCCGCCCATTTTGTGTGTCTCCCACCTCCAACGGGACAGCAAGAGCTTCCCTGCCTCTCGGGGGCCTCTGCAAAGTCTGCTCTCCCCACGCCAGTGGAGGCTGATATGGCTTTTGGCCCTCAGGCGGTACTCAGCAAGCGTTTGTTGAATGACTTAATGAGTACGTGAAAAAGGAAGCAATGAGTAAAAGGCCTTTCACAATTAAGGTGTTTCAGCCACAGCGCAAGCTTCTTTTGAGACGGAGTCCCGTTCTGTCGCCCAGGCTGGAGTGCAGTGACCTCCTGGCTTGCTGCAACCTCCATCTCCTGGGTTCAAGGGATTCTCCTGCCTCACCTCCTGAGTAGCTGGGATTACAGGTGCTCGTCACCACTCCTGGCTAATTTTTGTATTTATGTAGAGATGGGGTTTCACCATGTTTGCCAGGCTGGTCTGGAACTCCCGACCTTGCTTCAGCCTCCCAAAGGAAACATCTGTGCTGCTTCCATCCAGGATTACAGGCACAAGCCACACAGCACAAGCTTCTGATGGGGAGACTGAGGCAAGCAAGGCAGCCAAGATCTCAGCAGGCCTCGGTGAAGGCCCTGGGAGGTCTGAGTCCTGTGTGGGAGGGAGGCTCTGAGGACCCTCCTGGAGGTTCCCCCCAAACCTCTCTGCGTCCACATTTTTCCAGCGCATCCTGGGCCAGGCCATGTGCAGGACATCTGGAGCCCCCACCCCTGAGAGGGTCCCAGAGGCTGGGGGCTGCCCCACCCAGAGCCCCCTCCACCCCTTTTGCTCCTGCCAGCTTCTATCTGACGCTACCCCAGGTCCGCCTTCCAGAGGCTCCGAGTCCATGCCAGGAAAGGGTGTTCCCCCACCCTCACTCTGAGAGAACTCAACCTCTTCCTCTGTCCTGGCCCCTCTGGGCTCCCTGCCTCTCTCACTCCGCAGGCAAAGCTGGGCACTCAGCCATGAGCCTGTGTCCCCAGGGCAGAGTCCAGGCCTCCCTCTCCCTCCCCATCCTCTCGGGCCTGGCAGGGCTCCTGCTCCCTGGCCTGGGCTTTTTGTCCATGAAAGACAGTCCAGAACACCAGGAAGCCCCGCTGGGCCTGGCAGGGCATGGGGGTGCCAGGGGCACCGGCAGGGCAGTGGGGGGCACAGCCCCTGCCTCTGGGCTGCCTTTGTTCTTCCCTTTTCAGGCATGATGTGCACTGTGCGTGCCTCTCTCTCCTCTGGGCTTTCAGGGTAGAAGAAAGGCCTGGGGTCAGCGTGGGAAAACAGGGCCTGAGGCCTGGAGCTCCGCACCAGCCACACCCGGAGACTTGTTTGCTGGGCCCCACCAGGCTGGGCTATGAGGCTGGGAGGCAGCGATGCTGCTACCCAGGGCTCCCACCCCTCCCTTTGGGGTCCTGAGCTAGAAAAAAGACGCCTTTGCTGGGCCTGTGACGCCAGATCCTCACCCCCAGTGGGAATCCCAGCACAATTGTCAACGCCTGTTCCAGAAGGCGGGCATGGTCTGGACCCTGTCCCAGGAGGCTGCCCTGTGGGCCCCAGCAGCCCGAACTCCCAGGTGGTCTGACCTCGTGGCCCCTAACGCTGTGTGACTGGAATTGTTGGGAAAGGAATTTCCACTTTGCAGCAGGCGCAAAGGGGGCGTCCCCTGGCCGGGCTGGGATGCAGGGCCCGTGGAGGCAGCGCCGAGAAAAGCCAGCCGTGTCCCGGGGCGGAGGGGCAGGGCTCGGGTCTAGGGCCACCTGCGCTTCACCTGCCCCAGCCGTTGCTGCCCCGCACCCCAACTCTGCTGGCCTGGGGTCCCTCTTTCTTGTCTTCCGGGCCGTGGAGAGGCTCCTCCGGCTCCCGTCCTGGGGAAGCGTCTGCGGGCCTCAGGACAGCAGGCACTGGGAGACCTGGGCCGGGAGGAAGGGACATTTGCCCCATCTGCGCTGCTTCCTTCTCTGTCTCGCTCGGTGTGAACCCGGCCGTCCCTGCCCTTCCCGCAGCTGCGCCCTCACCTTCGCCTCAGCACAGCGCCCAGGTGAGGAGGATCTGACTCGGGCCTCAAGCGTGGGTGCGGCCTGGGTCAGCTGAGAGTCCCCGCGCTGGCTCAGAGGCTTCCGCAGGCCTGCTCGGTCCTTACCCGCCCTGGGGGTCGGGCTCGGGGCTTCGCTCCAAAGCAGGTACTGCCCCACCGTTTCCTCCTGAGCCCCGGCCTGGGCCCCGCCTGGCTCCCGCGGCTGCCGGCGCCTCATTCCCGCCAGCTGGTCCCCTCCCAGGCCAGGCCAGGAACAGGCGCGGTTCTCAGGGCAGGACCCTCGGAACCAGTCGCCCCGCCCACCCCGCGCCAGGTCTGCTGCCTCCACGGGGAAGCCCCTTGCAGGGTGGCCTAGAAGGGGGAAGGTGGGCCACAGACCCGGGAGCCGGGCGCGGGGGCGGAACCGCCCGCCGTGGGCGTGGCCGGAGGCGGGCGTGGCTGACCACCGCCCCGCCCCTCGCCCCCTACCCCGCGGTCCCGCGGCCCCGCCGCCTCCGGTTTCGGCTCTCCGCGGTCTCCCGGTCCACGCGTAGTCCTCCCGCGCGCCCATGGCCGGGAAGGTGCTGTCACTGCTGCCGCCGCTGCTGCTGGCCGCCGCCGGCCTCGCCGGTCTCCTGCTACTGTGCGTCTCCACCCGCGACGTCCGGGAGCCGCCCGCCCTCAAGGTGCGCGCCGGGGCACCCAGCGCAGGTCCGGGGAGCTGCGGGCCGGGCCGGGCCGGGGAGCCGCGAGGTGGGGGGGCGCGGCTGGGAGCCCGAGCAGGCTCAGCCCGAGACCCTCACCGCGCTCTGCTTCTGACGGGCTGGGTGGAGTCCCCGGTCCCGCGCCCTGCGCTCCTGGACCGGGAACCCCGGACGGCGGTGGCGCTTCCACGGCGACGAGGTGCTGGAGGACCAAGTCCCGGGAATTCCGCGCCGGCCGCCGAGCCGGTCAATGCGGCCCAGGTGCTGTGTCCCTGCTCGCAGGACGCAGCCCGGGGATGCCCCCTGGGTGCTGCCGGATGCCACCCTCAGCCCTGTGCGGGCCCCCAGGGGCGCCCCGAGCCACTTCTACCCTGGGCCGCCGCCCTGAGGGTGCGTGGTGTTCAGCCCAGACGAGAATCAACAAGTCCTAGGGCCCAGGGCCCCCTCCGGACACGAGGGCGGCCCAGAGAGGAGGCCTTGACTGGAGCGGCCCTGGCGGGTCCGCAAAGGGTTGGAGCAGGCTAGCCCAGATTCCACTCTGGCAGGTCCTCCTGACGGCCACTTTAACCCTTTACTGGGCTTGTAGGGAGTAAGGTGGAGCCGAGCCCCCCAAATCCAAAGGGGATTCAGAAGCTGAGAGCTCTGTGGCCCTGCAGCACCGCTGGGTGGCAGTGGACATGCTGGCCTGTTGACGCTCCGGGCTCTGGGGAGGCTCTTAGTCTGGGTGGACTGGTGTGGACTGGTGCAGCCCTCTCGAAGGCTGGAATTGGCACCCGGGCCTGGGAGATTGGTCCCCAACTTTCCAGGTGGATCCAGGACGCTGGGGCAGGAGCTGGAAAGGGGTGTCTACAAGCTCATGCTGCCCAGGTCTGCAGGAAGGCCCACCCAGAGCCCCCAGCAAGGCAGGACCACCTCTCTCTGGCCCTGGCTTGGAGACCGTGTTTTCAACAGGGATGGCCTTGCTCTGAGGCCCACGGCCAGCCTCAGCTTGGCCTTCTTCCCCTGGGGCCCTGCTTCTCGAATCCTCAGGTTGGGCTGTGGTCAGAGGAGAAGGAAAAAGAGAGGGAAGGAAGGAGAGGGGGAGGAAGAAAGAGTGGCTCTAGGGGTTCCTCCTGCAGCAGAGCTTCCTCCCCTTGAATCTGGGGACCTCCTTGTGCCCCGAGGGAAAAGCCCGTGGGGGCCCTTGTCCCTGGCTCAGTCCCTCAGTCTGCCCTTGCCAGGAATGCTGTTGCCCTGAGACTGGCATGCTGGCTGCAGGCAGTCAGGAGTGAAGATTCACCCGCCGCCCTGTTCTCCTTCCAGCCATGGCTGTCTTGGTCCCCTCTGAGCTTCAGCACGAGGCTTGGCACATGACTGGGGGGGGGGGAGTGGCAAGCTGGAGGCACCAAACAGTATGGCCTTCAGAACCCCCGGACACCCCAGGCCGACTCCCTCCCCTCCCCCAGTATGGTATCGTCCTGGACGCTGGCTCTTCACACACGTCCATGTTTGTCTACAAGTGGCCGGCAGACAAGGAGAATGACACAGGCATCGTGGGCCAGCACAGCTCTTGCGATGTTCCAGGTGAGGCCCGGCATGCCCTAGCCAGGACACCCACTCACCGCAAGGTCCCTGGGGCCCCCTCCAGCCTTAGCCAGTGCAGGTCCAAGCACTTAGCGCCTTCTGCTTAGTGTGGGGTGGGGCTCATTCCAGGCAGAAGCCCTGGAAACAGAGAGGCTGGGTGCTTTGCTCCTGGATCGGGTAGGAATGGTTTGCATTCTGGAAAGGAAGCAGAGGTGGCAGGTGGGAGGTTTGGGCCTTGCCTGGCCCAATACTGGCTTCTATGTCCCAGATGGAGCAGGTGGAGGTCTGGGGGCCTAGTGGGCACACCCAGGCAGGCCCCAGGAGGTGGACCTCGGTCGACGATGCCCAGGGCTTTGTTGTAGCACCTGCACCCATACCCACTCAGCGGGCACAGCTTCGGTCTCTGGGTGGCACCTGGGCCCCTTTGTCTCCAAGCTGGGAGTTTCTGGGGGCTTAAGCTGGGAAGGTGTGCCACCTGGCCTAGAACCCCAGCCCCCCCACCCCCACCCTTACTCTCCTGGCCGGTGGCCCACCTAGGGGTTATCTGTGAGGCACGGACTCATCTCTCTGCCTCTCTCTAGGTGGGGGCATCTCCAGCTATGCAGACAACCCTCCTGGGGCCGGCCAGAGTCTGGTTGAATGCCTTGAACAGGCGCTTCGGGACGTGCCTAAAGAGAGACATGCAGGCACGCCCCTCTACCTGGGAGCCACAGCGGGTATGCGCCTGCTCAAGTGAGTGTGCCTGTCCCCTGACAGCCCTTCTCCTCTGGGGCAGACCCCGATCACCCCTGCCGCAGGCTCATGGCCAGCCACCTGGGGAGGAGTCCTCTTGGAGTTCTCTGTGTTTTACAGCCTAACCAACCCAGAGGCCTCGGCTAGTGTGCTCGCAGCAGTGACACACACGCTGACCCAGTACCCCTTTGACTTCCGTGGTGCCCGCATACTCTCTGGCCAGGACGAGGGCGTGTTCGGCTGGGTGACTGCCAACTACCTGCTGGAGAACTTCATCAAGGTGGGCCTGGCAGCCAGCCGAAGAGCCAGGGGGCGTGGGCGCCCTTGTCGCCTGGGTGACCCCATACTCCCCTCTCCACAGTATGGCTGGGTGGGCCGGTGGTTCCGGCCACGGAGGGGGACGCTGGGGGCCATGGACCTGGGGGGTGCCTCCACCCAGATCACCTTTGAGACGACCGGTCCAGCGGAGGACAGTGCCAACGAGGTCCAGCTGCGCCTCTACGGCCAGAGCTACCGAGTCTACACCCACAGCTTCCTGTGCTATGGCCGCGACCAGGTCCTCTGGAGGCTGCTTGCCAGCGCCCTCCAGGTGCCCCTCCACCCTGGCTGGCCTGCACTGCACAGTGCCCTCCTATGGCAGAGCCTGGACAGCCGCCGAGCTTTGGAGGGCTTCTCCAGGCTGGGCTGTAACTGGCTGGAAAGTCAGTTGGGAGGGCCAGAGCCTGAGCAAAGGCCCGGTGGCCCGGCTGGGCCTGGAGAGGGGAGGGCTGGGGTGGCTCTCAGAGGGAGCCTGGTTGGGGAGTTGGGCTCTGTCAAGCAGGCAGTGGGGAGCCATGGATTGCCCCTGGGCACCCAAGTGAGGCTGCCAGACTGAGACCTGGGGGAGGTTCATCCGGCTGGTCCTCTGGAGTGGCAATGGTGCCACCTGGTCACGCTGACGATCCCTCCAGACCCACGGCTTCCATCCCTGCTGGCCAAGGGGCTTCTCCACCCAAGTGCTGCTCGGGGATGTGTACCAGTCGCCCTGCACCGAGGCCCAGCGGCCCGGGGCTTTCAACAGCAGCACCAGGGTCAGCCTGTCAGGGAGCAGTGACCCCCACCTCTGCCGAGATCTGGTTTCTGGGCTCTTCAGCTTCTCCTCCTGCCCCTTCTCCCGATGCTCTTTCAATGGGGTCTTCCAGCCCCCAGTGGCTGGAAACTTTATCGTGAGTAGGGCAGACAGGGGTGGCGGCAGGTGCCCTGAGCAGCTGGGTCCGGTCACGGTGTGACTGTGCCGCCTTACAGGCCTTCTCTGCCTTCTTCTACACTGTGGACTTCTTGCGGACTTCGATGGGGCTGCCTGTGGCCACTCTGCAGCAGCTGGAGGCAGCCTCGGTGAATGTCTGCAACCAGACCTGGGCCCAGGTGAGCCTGCTCCCCTCCTCCAGGGCCTTGCGGAAGGGCTTGGCCTCCACATGCCTCCCCAGCCCTGCGTGTACAGGCCTCTCGGAGAGCCCACTGCAGTGGGGGGCAGTGGCAGGCATTACACCAACTCCAGAGGTGGTGGGGCTGTGGCCAAGAGGCTGTGAACTAGATGGTGGGCTGGAGAAGCTTCCCCAGGCCTGACCCTCATACCAGACCTGGAGGGCAGAGGGGAGACCGCTCAGTGCTCAGGTTTCTGGTTTCTGCCACTCATCCCTCCATGGTGCTACGCAAGGGAAAACAGAAGCGGGGTTGGGCGCAGGGAGTGTGCCCAGTGGAGACTCCAAAAGAAACGCGCCAGTGGTCCCAGGACTGGGGTGGTGAGCAAGGCCCCATCCCGTTCTCCCAGAGCCTAGTCTCAGACTAGGGTGGGGGAGGTGGGGAAGGGTGGTGAGCCAGTGGGCAGACTCAGGCCTGGGGTTCGTCCTGTTTCCCTGGCCACACACCAAGGTGTTGCTGCCCCCTGCTCCCTGGCTGCCGTCCCTGCTGTCCCCAGTCACTGGCCTTCCAGGCAGGGGCGTTGGCTGGGGAGGGATAGAAGGGGGCCCTGCAGGGTTGCCCGTTGGGCTCCGTCTGGCCACGCGTGTCGGAGCCCAGGTGGTGCTCTCTAGCTGGGGAGGAATGCAGCAACCCGGCCACCTCTCCCCGTGGGGCCGAGACCTCCTGCTCGTCGCCTGCCTAATGGTGTCCCGCCCACGCCCCAGCTGCAGGCTCGAGTGCCAGGGCAACGAGCCCACCTGGCCGACTACTGCGCCGGGGCCATGTTTGTGCAGCAGTTGCTGAGTCGCGGCTACGGCTTCAATGAGCGCACCTTTGGCAGCGTGACCTTCCAGAAGCAGGTGGGTGGGGCGGGGCCAGTCGTGGGGCGGGGAGGGTGGGGCCAGTCGTGGGGCGGGGCCTCGCGGGAGCTGAGGTCACGCCCTTCGCCGCAGGCCGCGGACACGGCGGTGGGCTGGGCGCTAGGCTACATGCTGAACCTGACCAACCTGATCCCCGCCGACCCGCCGGGGCTGCGCAAGGGCACAGACTTCAGCTCCTGGGTTGTCCTCCTGCTGATCTTCGCCTCTGCGCTCCTGGCTTCGCTTGTCCTGCTGCTGCGGCAGGTGCACTCCGCTAAGCTGCCGAGCACCATTTAGCGGCCAGCGGGGGCAGCTGCCCCATCCCTCCGCTGTATCTCCACCCCGTACCCCCTCCTGCCCACCCCTGTACCCCCACCTCTCCACCCATTCCTCCTCCCACCCCCACCCCTCCACTGACCCCTGTAACCAGCATCCTCCCCCCACCCCTCTATCCCCACCCCTCCCCTCCATCTGCCACCCCTCTATTCCCTACCCCTCCTCCCACCCCTTTATCCCCCACCCCTTCCCCACCCTCTATCCCCTACCCTTCCCCCACCCTCTATTCCCCACCCCTCCTCCCACTACTCTATCCCTAACCCCTCCCCCACCATCTATCCCCCACCTCTTCCCTCCCCTCCATCTCCCACCTCTATCCCCATTCCTCTATCCCCGCCCCCCTATCTTCTGCCCCTCCTCTCCCTTCCATTCCCCATCCCTCTATCCCCACCCCTCTATCCCCCACCCCTTTTCTTCATCCCCCATCCCTCTATCCCCACCCCTCTAACCCCCACCCCTCCCCTCCCCTCCATCCCCCACCCCTCTATCCCCCACCCCTCCTCCCACCCCCTATCCCCCACCCCTCCTCCCTCCATCACTTATTCTCTATTCCTCCACCCACTCACAGTGTCTCTGCCCCTTGGGCAGCCTGGGAAATGGGAATTGAGACTCAGGTGCCCATACCCACAGGGGTCCTGGTGGGCAGAGAGCTCAATCCAGCTCCTCGGGCCCCTCCAGCCTGATTCAGCCTGGGTGTCACTCCAGGCCCCATGCTTCTCCTCCTCTTCCTCAGGGCTGGGTCTCCGAGGAGTGGGGCCTTGGTTCTGAGAATCAGGGCCTTCAGAGGTTCCTTCTGAAGAGTCTGGGTCTGTAGTTGGGAGGGTCACAGCCCACGGGCTGGCAGCCAGCCCAGCACCTACTTGTGAAATTTTCTAATAAAAAATTTTTCCCAGAGAAGTGAAAGGAGCATATGTGCGGGAAGGGCGTCCTTGCTGCTGCCTGTGCCCCGACTTCCCGCTGTGCCGGTGCACAGGCCTGCCCCCATCTCGAGGGTGGACACCAGCTCTCCCTCCTGCCTTCCACTCTGGAGCCAGGCCTGGGCCACTGGCTGTTCCCCTGCTGTGCCGTGACGGCCTAGAGCAGTTGCAGGAGGGCTGACCCAAGGGAGCGTTCCTGTGCCCTTAAGGCTTCGCTGGCCAACAGAGTTCCCCAAAACCATCACATCCAGATCTGCGCTGGTGACCTAGCCCAGCCTGGAGGTTGGGTCCTGGTCCAGCAGGCCTGGGGTTAGGGTAGGGCCCAGGGGCAGTCAGTGCTGGTAGAGACTGAAGGGAGGGCAGGCCCTCATCAGGAGGTGGTGTAGTGGTGGGAGCTGAGGTCAGCACCAGGAGGGTCCCAGGGCCCCTCCCACAGAGGCAGGACTCTTGTACAGAACCTGGCTGTGGAGCCTTGTGATAGCACGGGGCACCTTGCCCTTCTCCCTTGGGACTGAGTGTCCTGCACTCCCACCTAGCATCCCTCAGCCTCTCCCCAAGCCAGTTTTCTCCAGGACAGGAAGCCCTGGTCTTGCCCACTCGCCCCTCCCCTTTCTGGGAAGTGAGATCAGACACTGCCTTTGTCTGCTTAGTGCTCTCGTGGGTAGGGTGGTAGTTCTTATTCTGCTCCTCCCTCCCCCCAACACCATTTTTTTTCCCCTCAACACCATTTTTTTTTTTTTTGAGTCATTTGATAAACCTGAGGGCAGCCAGCCCCAGCTTTGGAGTTCTGAGACTGGAAGGACCAAGGGGACACCCCAGGTTGGAGGGCTCACTCTTCTTTGAATGACTGAGTCAAGGGAGTTTTCCAGAGGGATGGAGTGGGCGTGTTCTTGGGAGGCAACAGCTGAGGTGCAAGGGGGGAATCAGAGATGTCCGTTGCCGGGCACAGTGGCTCACGTCTGTAATCCCAGCACTTTGGGAGGCTGAAGTGGGTGGATCACCTGAGGCCAGGAGTTCGAGACCAGCTGAGTCAACGTGGTGAAACCCGATCTCTACCAAAAATACAAAAATTAGGCGTGGTGGTGTGTGCCTGCAATCCTAGCTACTCGGGAGGCTGAGGCACGAGAATTACTTGAACCCGGGAGGCGGAGGTTGCAGTGAGCCAAAATGGGACCACTGCACTCCAGCCTGAGCGACAGAGACGCCGTCTCAAAAAAAAAAAAGATGCCCGCTGTCCTGGGGGAGCTAAAAGGCTGTTACCTGGGGAGCATGAACACCTTGGACAGCTCCCAGCTCCCGTCCTCAGTGGCTCCGGGTCACTCTTGCCCCCTGGTGGCCTCGCTGAGCGCGGCCGCTGGGACTCCAGCCAAAGCGGCAGTCGGGGCGGGCCGTTCTGCGTTCCCGCATTTGCTTTTCCCCGCGAGTGGGGGTGCCCCTGCCTCTGTGGGCACACCTGTGCCTCCCTGCGCGCCTGCTCAGCTCGTGCGCACCTGTCTGCGTGCGCCCGGCGCTCCCGTGTCCCTGTGTGCTCCCGAGGCTGGGCCCAGGCAGGTCCTTTGCCCCGTCGCGGGGGCGGGTGAGGTGCCGCGAGTCCTACAGCAAAGCGGCCGGAAGGGAGCGCCTCCCGGGAAGCCCACCCGCGGCCCAAACCCAGTCGGACTTCTGCGAGCGTCACCGGCTGCGGAGCCCGCAGGTGCCCAGACACCCCGGGGCCGGGAGAGGTCCAGGGAGGCCGGCAGAGGGGACCAGAACAGAGTGGGGGAGGGGGCGCAGCCCGGAGCCTCCCGCCCGCCCCCGCAGGTGGAGCGCGCAGGCGCAGTCCCCGCGCGCGCCCCGCCGGCGCCTCCATCCCGGATCCGCGCTGCAGCGTCAGCGCCGCCGCCCGTTCCTTTCCTCTTCCTCCTCCTCCTCCTCGGCCTCGGCCTCCGCCTCCTCTTCCTCCTCCGTCCTCCGCCCCCCGCCTCCCCTGCTCCCAACGCGGAGCCCGCGCCGAGCCCCCGGCCTCGCGGTGCCATGCTGCCCCGGCGGTGGCGCTGAAGGATGGCGACGCCGCTGCCTCCGCCCTCCCCGCGGCACCTGCGGCTGCTGCGGCTGCTGCTCACCGGCCTCATCCTCGGCGCGGTCCTGCGCGGGGCCGCCGCCGGCCACCCGGGTGAGCGAGCGCGCTGGGCGCAGGCCGCGGGGCGCCCCGGGGCCGGGATCGCCGGCGGGGAACGGGCTGCCGGGCGCCGCCGCCCTCGTCCTGCCCAGGCCCGCAGGCCCTGCAGGCCGGGTCCGCTGCAGACGGCGGCCCCGCCTCGCCCGGGATGGGATAAACAGGCCCGGCTGGAGGACACAGCGCGGATGGGGCTTCTGCCGGTTCTCGGAGGCGAAGCTGAAGTTCGCAGCTTCTTCCGCCGGGAGCCGGTCTGGCTTAGGCCTCGGCGCCGCGGCCATCTGGCTCTGGTCGGGCCCATCGGGAGTCTGTCCTGCGTGGGTCTGTGTGTGTGTGTGTCTGGGTTCGGGGCTCCTGCGGGTGCGGCGCTGGCCCTGAGTGCCCGCCGGCTTCGCTGCCTGTGTGCGTCCCAGAGTCGGGGCGTCCGTGCTGATCTGCCTGTCCTCAGGCCTCAGGTGGCGCTGGACACCGGCCTTGTGCGCCATGGTGGGCGCTGGTGTTCCAGGGGCACTTGATGGCGCAGGCTCGGGGTGCTGTTCTAGCTTCAATGGGGGAGGCTGTGGTCACCTCAGAGCCTCCTCCTGCACCCCCTGCCCTTGAGGGCACTGGCATTCTGCCTTTGGGACTGAGGCCTGCAGGGGAACTCCGGAGGGGGGTGATAAGCCCAGGGTCGTGGGACACCCTCCCCGGCTGCACAGATGGGCCCTGAGGCTCCCGGAAGCAGACGTGTGCAGGAACCCAGGATGCAAAGCTCACCTTTTTCTTGAGGGGGAGGGTTGCTGAACTGGGAGACTTTGTGACTGCATTCGTGCAATCCTCCTGGCAGCCCTGCAGAAGAGGTGCTGTGAGTCCGTTTTACAGTTAAGGAAACTGAGGCATGGAGAATTTAGGTGGAATGTGGCCCAGCTGATGCTACCCAGGGCAGTCTGGTTCTCTGTGTGTGGCCTCATGGGACCGGCTTCCTCCTGGGCACAGTGCTTCTGCATGGGAGGTGGGCATACCAGGAGGGGCTTCCGAGACTCAGAGCCTGCTCAGCCAGGAAAGGTGGAGGCCACCTTTTCAGGAACTGGGGCTGTAGCTGCTGTGCTGAGCCCGGGTGGGCAGCAATTGCCAGGCCTCAGTTCACCAGTCTCTGTGGCTTTGTGCCTGCCTTGCTGGGAGACCTGGCAAGACCCTCCCCAGGAAGCCCCTCCCACTCCCAGTGCCAGGTGCTTGGAAGGGAGGGGCCCTCAGGCAGCCCAGACTGAGGTGAGGTGCCAGCCACTCTCCAGCTGCTGCTCTTCCTGGGACCTCGTCTCAGGAGGAGGAAGTGGTGGATGGAGGCTCCTGGGCTGGGGAATCGGGCTGGGAGGGGCCTGGAACCCAGACCCTAGAGTTGGCTTTTCGCCTCAGCCCTCAGGCTTTGGCATGGCAGACTGTGCGTTATCAGCACAGGGACAGGGACCGCCTCGCTCCCCAGGTGCCAAGCATGCGGGTGGGCCCCGAGTGGATCTGCTGGCACAGGCTCAGTGTTTAACATGCCCAAGTCCCGGCATAGCCTAGATACCGGAGGCTGCTGCTCCAGGTCGTGGAGCGTGGGTGGTGCCTCTGCTGCCCACCTGCCACTGGGGCTGCTGAGGCTGCTGGAACTGCCTGGAAGGGAGGCCGACAGCCTGAAGACACTGAGTGTTGGGTTACCAAGGAAACTAAGCTAGCCAGCCAAGGCCTGGAGAAGGACAGATACCCCATATGGTGCCAGGCCCCGGTAGTCCTCCCTGCAGTGTGCAATGTGGGGCTGGGCGGAGGAAGAGTCCTGGCTAGCCAGAGGACCCACTGCAGGCTCCCCAGGCAGGGTTGATGGCCCTGCTGGGGTTCCCCCCGGTCCACTGGCTCACTGTGACTGGTGACATTCCTTACCTTTGAGGCTACTCAGCTTCTGCATCCCAGAGGGGAAACTGAGGCAGAGAGGGTCCTGCCCCCCTTCCCTGTTCTCCAGCACCAGGATAGGACTGATTAGCCACATGTGTAAGCTGGCATCGTGGCCTAGGCCCTTCCTCATCGAGAGGAGAGTATGGGTAGGAACTAGAGAGCTGGAGCCTGGCCTGCAGTCCCCAGCCCTGCCTATCCAGCCTCCTTAGGCCCTCAGGGGCCTCTGGTCCCTGACTGCAGCCCCTGGTAGTGTGGCTGTGGGAGTGACCTGCCTGCATTCTGTGTCTGAGGCAAGTGAGGCCACAGACCCCATCCTAGCTCTCCTCGGTGCCTGGGGGACAAGCCAGAGACTGGAGGAGCAGCCACGCTTCCAGGCTGCATACTCATTCAGTGCTGCTTCAGGAGAGGCCGCTGGCCAGCACCATTCGCTGCTTCTGAGACAGACCTCGGCCCCTCCCTCTGGGACTCCCGATCTGGACTGGGGTTCCTGGCTGGCTGTGGGGCATGTTGAGGCCGGAGGCTGGGCTTGGGGGCTGCATGGCACAGCACTGCCTGGATGGTGACGCTCAGCTTCCGAGCTGGAGGCTCTATCAGGCCTGGACGTGGGCCCTGGGGAGTGGGTGGGGCAGGGTAGTTCCAGTAAGTCCTAGGACTGTTTCCTTCCTGGTTCTGGGCCCTGGCGGTGGGGAGGAAAGGCCTGTCCAGAACAATGGCCAGAACCAGGCCTGGCCAGCTCTGGGAGGGTGGGGGCGGGTGGCTGGGGCAGTGCTGCCGTGTACAGGGGCCGAGCTCTGCGGGGCCGTGAGCCGGCCCTGCCTTCTGCTTCCTTCCCAGATGCAGCCACCTGTCCCGGGAGCCTGGACTGTGCCCTGAAGAGGCGGGCAAGGTGTCCCCCTGGTGCCCATGCCTGTGGGCCCTGCCTTCAGCCCTTCCAGGAGGACCAGCAAGGGGTCTGTGTGCCCAGGATGCACCGGCCTCCGGGTACGAGAGCAAAGTGGGAGGTCATTGGGGGGTTGCCCCGAGTGTGCCTCTTCCAGTAGGAAGCCTGCAGCTGGCCAGGCTGGGCGGCTCACACCTGTAATCCCAGCACTTTGGGAGGCTGAGGTGGGTGGATCTCTTGAGGTCAGGAACTCAAGACCAGCCTGGCCAACATGGCGAAACCCCATCTCTACTAAAAATACAAAACTCAGCTGAGTGTGGTGGTGGGCGCCTGTAATCCCAGCTACTAGGGAGGTTGAGGCAGGAATCGCTTGAACCTGGGAGGTGGAGGTTGTAGTGAGCCGAGATCATGCCACTGCACTCCAGCCTGGGTGACAGAGGGAGACTCTGTCTCAAAAAAAAACAAACCAGGAAGCCTGCAGCCTTGGCACCTAGGCCTGTGCTAGTGGCCCCGGGGCCCCTGAGCCTTTTGGGGTGTTGGGTCCAAGGCCTGGGGGATCCTCATGTCACTCTCTATGAAACCTCCCATCCTTCCCAGATGGAGTTGGACCCAGGTCTGGGGCCGTCAGGCCCTCCCAGGGGAAGGGTTGCCCAGTGTGACATGCTGCGGTGACCCAGGGGAGGAGGGGTCCGAGCTCCCCAGGCATGGGCTCTGCAGGGTCTACCCAGAAACCCTCCAGCCCCCACTTCCCCACCATGGGCAGCTTGCAGTGTTTAAGGGCACCGGCCCTGGCTGGGTTCTGGGGATGCCCCACCTGCCAGCCTGAGCCAGCATCTGTTGGGATGGTCAGTTGCTGAGTGTGGTGAGAGCTTTGCACAGAGGTGCTGGGGTGGGAGCAGCTCCCCGGAGGGGCTGTCGGGAGGGCACTGAGAAGTGGATGTAAGAGTCTGTGCGGACATGTCACCTGCCTACCTGGGAGCTTCTGCCTGGACTGTGGTGCCTACAGTGGGTCCCAGTGGGGACCTGCCACCAGCCCCACCTGACAGTGGCCCCCGTTCTTATGACCTGGGGAGGGTCCTGGATGCCTGGCTTCCTTCCGCTTCTTCCCACTCCCTGGAGAGTTTCTGGTCCTCTGCTGAGAAGGTGCTTGGAGGTAGGGAAGCAGAGGGGGCTGTAGAGTCCAACGCCCTGCCCATCCCTTTACTGACAACAGCCGAGGTGAGAGACCTCCACTCCTTCCTCCCCCTACCTGGGCTTTGGACATTTCTACAGCGCCTCCTCCCCCTTGCCCTGCCCACACTTTTGGGGAGCACTGCCCCTCACAGGGGAAGCACCTCGCTGTCACCATGGCTATCTGGGAGGAAGAGGGCCCCCAGGCTGGTGCCCAGTCCTCGGGTACCCCAGGAGGAACCTTTGAGGCCAGGCCTGGGGCTGCCTCCTGGACGGGCCCCTTCACCTGATGGCCCTCACCCTCCCCAGGTCGGGGCCAGCCCCAGCCCAGGCTGGAAGATGAGATTGACTTCCTGGCCCAGGAGCTCGCCCGGAAGGAGTCTGGATACTCAACTCCGCCCCTGCCTGAGGCCCGACAGCGGCTCCTGGAGCCTGGTGAGACCCCTGCAGCCCCCGCCCCATGGCCCAGCCCCAGCCCAGTACTGTCCTCTCTCTAACCCCTCCTCTCTCGCAGCCACCCTGGGCTTCTCAGCACAGGGGCAGGGGCTGGAGCTGGGCCTCCCCTCAACTCCAGGAGCCCCCACGCCCCCGCCCCACACCTCCCTGGGCTCCCCTGTGTCCTCCGAGCCAGTGCACATGTCACCCCTGGAGCCCCGGGGTGGGCATGGCGACGGCCTTGCCCTCGGTAGGTCTTGGCTGGGGGCGGGCAGGGGCGGCAGGGCCCCTCCCCACAGAAGGCCACCCTTACACGCCCCCTCCCACAGTGCTGATCCTGGCATTCTGTGTGGCTGGTGCAGCTGCTCTCTCCGTGGCCTCCCTCTGCTGGTGCAGGTGAGCCAGCAGCCATGGGCTGTGCAGGGAGGGCTCCACATCCCCAGAGGCCTAAGGACCCGCTCCCCACAGGCTGCAGCGTGAGATCCGCCTGACCCAGAAGGCCGATTATTCGACTGCGAAGGGCCCCGGCTCAGCAGCAGCACCCCGGACCTCGGTGGGTGCCCCTTCAGCCCTGAGGCTGTTGCCCCGCTCTGGCCGCCCCCTGACCCTCGCCCCTGCCTTCCCACAGCCCGGGGACCAGCGGCTGGCACACAGCGCAGAGATGTACCACTACCAGCACCAGCGCCAGCAGATGCTGTGCCTGGAGCGGTGAGCGGCTGCCCCAGTCCTGATATCCTCCCACCCCCACCTCCCCAGCCACTCCCCCGCTCCCCATCCCCCTATCCCCCACCTCCCCACCCACTCCCCCACCCCCATCCCCCCATCCCTACCTCCCCACCCACTCCCCCCACCTCCATCCCCCCCACCCCCCACCTCCCCTGGCCAACTTTACCCCGGGCCCTGCCACCCTCACCTGTACCCTAACCTTCACCTCCTCCTCGCACCTCCACTTCCGCCCCCCACCACGCCTCTGCACCCTCTACACCTCCACCTCCTCTTCACTCTGGGCTCTGCTGCCCTGCCACCCCAGGGCTGAGGTGGGCCAGGTGCCCACTTCCAGACTGGGCCACTGGCACCTCAAGGTGTGGGAAGATCCAGTGCTCCCCCTCTCACCCAGGCATAAAGAGCCACCCAAGGAGCTGGACACAGCCTCATCAGATGAGGAGAACGAGGACGGAGACTTCACAGTGTACGAGTGCCCGGGCCTGGCCCCAGTGAGTACCTTGGGGTGCAGGGAGGGGGTACCGTCTCGTGGGGTTCCCTCCCAGCAAGTGTCCCCCTCCTCACCCCCTGCACGTACCAACACCCCTGTTCGCAGACTGGAGAGATGGAGGTGCGGAACCCCTTGTTCGACCACGCGGTGCTGTCTGCGCCCCTGCCGGCCCCCGGCGCATCGTCTGCGCTGCCGTGACCTGAAGGGGGACAGACGCCCACCTGTTCCCTGACCATGTGACCCCCAGGGGCAGGGGCAGAGCCAGGGCCTTCCCACTAAAAACAGGTTTTGAGGTTGTGTGCTTGTAGCTGGGCCTCGGGTACCAGGCCCTTGGGCCCCTTGCCAGGGAGAGCCCCACCTTTGTGCCAGGAGACCGTCTGTCCCCCTGCACCTCTCCTGTTCGGTTTGGACCCCCAAACTGAAGGGGTCAGGGAGAACCACAAAGCCAGGAATGGGTGGGGAATTGTAGAGACAAAAACCAATTAAAGTCTGTTTCAGACCTGCGGCTTCTGCATATGTGGCCTGTGTGGGTTAATCCGTCGCCCTCATCCCCCGTTTGGGGCCCTGGTTGATGGATTCATGAGCAGGGGGCCTGGGGTCTGCTCTTGCACCCCCAGAGAGAGAGTGCATTTCTGTCCCCTAATTAGGAGGACCTTCCCATGGAGCTGGAGGGGAGGTCACGGGATCATCCCCCATACTCAACTAGGCCTTACCCCTGCTCTGCAGACCCTTCTATGCAAGTGGGAGATCTGGAGCCCAGGGAACATAGGGCTGGGTCTTCCCGGAGTTGGCTCTCACAGCCCCAAAGACCCATCCTGTGTGGTAAAGAGGACTGGAGCAGGGGACAGTCCATACACACGTGGACATGGGTGCTGCCACCTCCAGGCAGACGGGAAAGGGTGCAGACATGGAGTCTGGGTTTCTCATGGGGACGGACTCCAGGCCTGCAGCACATGGAGGAGGGGTGCCAGGCGGAGGCACAGGCAGGTGGACCCAGGTGAGTGGCGGAGGGGCCTGTGTGACCCCAGCTATACACAGCCAGGTGGCCAGGTGAGGGGTGTAATGGCAGAGGGCCTGGATGCCTGGAGCTCGGGTTTGGCCCGCCACTCCCAAATGTGGAGGATCAAGGAGGCCCTGAGGGAGGGAAGGTGACTGTGGTCACGGGTGCCCAGATCTGGCCGGCACTGGCCAGGGTGCAGGGGTTGAAACTCTGTCCCACTGAGGCTGGGGAGGCAGGAGGGTTGAGTTCAGAAGCTCCTTCGTGGTTGTTAGGAGCTGGGAAACAGCCCTGGTGTTCTATCAGTCACAGTTCTCTTATTTTATTTTTACTTATTTTTTAAGACGGAGTTTCACTCTTGTTGCCCAGGCTGGGGCTCAATGGCGTGATCTCGGCTCACTGCAACCTCCGCACTCCGGGTTCAAGCAATTCTCCTGCCTCAGCTTCTCGAGTAGCTGGGATTACAGGCGCGTGCCACCATGCCCAACGAATTTTTGTATTTTTAGTAAAGACAGGGTTTCTCCATGTTGGTCAGGCTGGTATCAAACTCCTGACCTCAGGTAATCCACCTGCCTTGGCCTTCCAAAGTGCTGGGATTATAGGCGTGAGCCCCCGCGCCTGGCCAGTCAGGGTCCTCTAAGAGAAACAGAACTAATAGGATTGAGATATATATATATATATAAAGCAGGGCTGGGTGCAGTGGCTCACGCCTGCAATCCCAGCCCTGCTTTATATATATATATATATCTCAATCCTATTGAAGGATGCAGAGTATTGATCCTGGGTGTGTCTGTGAGGGTGCTCCCAAAAGAGTCAAGTTGACAGTATTCACCACCACACCTGGCATGGGGAAAACAGGGCCCACTGGGCACAGCCAGGTCCCCGGAGAAAAGGTGGGCCAGACAGGCTGTGGGAAACAGCTCCCTCCTGCTGGGGGCGACTGGCCTAGCCTAAGCAGTATGTTTTGGGGGCCAGAGCCCACCCAGACCAGGAAGCCCCCTTGCCTCTAGTTCACTCCTTACCTGTGACCTTGGGCTGGCCCTTGGCTGGGAGTCTTCGTGTCCCTCTGGGCACTGCTGTGATGGGGCAGGGTGTGATGGCTGCCTGCTTGTAGGCCCTGGTGTGATAGGTGCGTGTGTATGGGGCAGAGTGGATGCTGAGCCCGTGTGGCAAGCCCATGCCCACCATCCTTCACTCCAAGCCATTAGCCACAGGGAAAGCAGGCAGGTGTAGAGGCCTGGGCACCACTCAGGGCTCAGGCTGGGGTGTGACTGGCTGGGAGCTCCCCTGCACCTCCACGGTCAGTCCCTCAGGTCACAACACTTGCCTGTCCTTGTCCTGCTGGCCTGACCTAGGGGCCCAAGAGCAGCCTCTTCGTGTGTCCCATCCTCTTGTTCTCCTGGGGGATCCCAGCCTATCCCTAGGGTCCCTGCAGCCCACTCTCCCAGGTCTCAGCAAGGAGGGACTCCCTTTCAGGGCAGCTGCGTGAGAAAGGAGCCTGAGGGCCTGAGCTGGGGAAGGGTTGGAGGCGGCTGGGGTCCCCCGGCGGGCAGAGGCCCCCATGCAGCTCAGCACCCTGCTCCCCACTCAACTTTTTGGCTTTTTTTTTGAGAGTCTCACTCTGGCACCTGGGCTGGAGTGCAACAGTGCTATCTTGGCTCACTGTAAGCTCCAATTCCTGGGTTCAGGTGATTCTCCTGCTTCAGCCTCCCGAGTAGCTAGGATTACAGGTGCATGCCACCATGCCCAGCTAGTGTGTGTGTGTGTGTGTGTGTGTGTGTGTGTTTGAGATGGAGTCTCACTCTGTTGCTAGGGTGGACTGCAGTGGTGCAATCTTGACTCACCGCAACTTCTGCCTCTTGGGTTCAAGCAATTCTCCTGCCTCAGCCTCCCAAGTAGCTGGGATTACAGGCCCGCCACAACACCCAGCTAATTTTTATATTTTTAGTAGAGATGGGGTTTCACCATGCTGGCCAGGCTGGTCTCAAACTCCTGGCCTCAGGTGATCAACCCGCCTTGGCCTCCCACAGTGCTGGGATTACAGGTGTGAGCCACCGCGCCTGGCCTTTTTTTGGCCTTCACTGGCCCCCGGCCAATTCAGACAGCCTTCAACTTTGTCCAAGCTCCTGCCCCCAACCATCAGGAGTCCCCCTGCTCCCATAGACCCCAGGCTGTGGGTGGGCTCCCCTGGGGCCCCCAGGGACTCTGGAGACCCCAATCCTGGACATCAGGCCTGGTTCAGCCTTCTGGGGGCCCATTACTCACTTCTTTCCACTTTGCCTTCTGTTGTTCCTGTCCCTGTCCCAGGACCCTCGCAGCAGCGAGAGGCAGATCCCACCTTGGCTTCCGGCTGGACTCTGAGCCCTGAGCCTGCTGACCCTGGCCCGGCAGCCCAGCCCCTCCACTGCTTCCCACTTGCGGAAGCCCAGCGGGGCACTGATGTATGTCTGTTCTTCCAGCCTCAGTCACCTCCCGCTTGGTGCTCTGCCCACACCTGGTGACCTCCTGAGCACAGATGCCCAAGGGTGATGTGCACAGACTCTGGCAGAGACCCCTGGGGCGACACTCGTCTGTTCGGAGATGCCCCCAACCCAGCGAGATGCTGGGGCAGGACCATGCTTGGCCCAGAATGTGGGGCGTGTGATCCCCTATCCAGCACCCTAGGAAGTGGGGACCCCCCCCAGCATCTGGTCCTGGCAGCCGATCTTGTTCCCCAGTGTGGGTGGCTGGGTGGGCCAGCCCCAGGTTCAGAGCCCCGGGTCGCAGCCCTCTCGCACAGCCACGCAGCACAGAGGAGTGGGTCTTGCTGTAGAACAGAAGGGATGGGCAAAACTTGGGGTGCAGAGTGGGTCCCCGGAGGACCAGAGCCCCACCTGGAGGTGAACAGGGGCACAGACGTGATCCCTCACACCCTGGGGCTCGATGGGACGTGAGTGGAGGGGAGGGGCTGGGCTCACCTGCTGCACCGCCCTGTGCGGCCCCTCGGCCACTTGCCAGGCTCCATGCACCCACCCCTTTCCAAAGGCAAGCTCAGAGCGGCTCTCCAGCCCCCAGTTCCACCCTGTTGTTGAGAATAAAGTGCAGTTTTTCTCCTCCCCAGAGCCATGCAGCTTTGCAGCATGCCACCAGGGGGCGCTCGAGACACGCCTCGGGACTGCCCTGCTCAGCCAACCCTCCAGGCAGGTGGGCAGTCAGGGGACAGCCAGGCTCCGCCCACTCCCTGGGAACCTCTCGGGCTGGGGCTGGGTGCCCTGCACCTTGCTGCTGTCCCGGGGGCCGCTGTCTGCAGGGGGTAGCTGGCCAGTGCACTGCTCTTGGTTGGGAGTCGGGCCCGTGGGGTGGAGGCCTCTTGAGTGGGGGTCCGACGGGAAGCTGGCCCACAGCAAAGGCTCAGCTGCACAGAGCGTGTCCTGACCATCTCGATGCTCACAGGCCACGAAGCTGGGGTTCGTGCCTGCCTGTGTCCCCACCAGCCCGGGGAGTCGGGAGGCCTGGGTGGAGAGAGAAGAGGAGCCCCCGCCCCCGACTTTCCCTTTGACTCATGGCCTTTTTTTTCCTCTAAGAGGCTTTCATTCTGACCCATTTCTGAGCAAAACCTCTGAGCCCCCATTTGCCAGCTCGCAGGTTCCCACGAACGACGGGGCCCCATGGTGGCCACCCTGCCCAGGGCCCTCAAGGAGGAGCAGGCTCTGGGGGGAGGGCAGGGGAGGCTCCTTCCAATCCACCCAGGAAGGCAGCAGGCTGTGGCTGCGGCAGAGGCACATGGCGAGGGCCCCTGGCAGCACAAACAGGAAGGACAGAGGGCTCCAGCAGCCAGAGGCTGGGTCACCCGCAGGCGCAGGAGGACGGCCTCCTTCCTGTGGGAGCTGCCACCGGGTGCCCACTGCAGAGAAAAGAGAAGGGGTGGAGTGAGGCTGAAGCCAGGGTGTGGCTCTGAGGAGAAACACTGCGGTGGCATGAAAGTCCCAGGTACCCCTGTGGGCATCACCCAAACAGGGCGGACTGGAAGGGTGGGGCTGGCAGCACTGCCCACCTGGTTCCAGCCCCTGAGCAAAGCAGCGCTGGCACCAACTGTTTCCTATGGTGCCCTTGGGCCCCCTCCATCCTCGGCCGTTACACAAGTTCCGCAGCACAGCTCAGCTTGGAGGTTACACTGTGCCGCAGAGGTGGGGGCCTCTGAGGAGCCAGCCTACCATCCTGTCCCGGGCCTGCCTCCGTCCGCACAGTGAGACTGCTGCCAGCTGTCTGGTTCCCCTCCCAAGGCAGCCTCATCCTCACTGTGGGGCGGGGAGAGGCCGGCAGCCCCTGGAGCCTAAGACAGGAGCAGGACAGGGGCAGGGGTTGGGTGGGTGGGAGGCAGCACCCTCAGAGGGTGTGGGGGCAAAGGCCAGGACAACCTTTCATGGCTGCCATTCCTCGTGGGAAACACGATATGAGGCCCCAGAGGACCTGACAGGGCAGGCACGTCCCACTCCCGGAATCCCAGTGCTTTGGGATTCCAAGGTGGGAGGATCGCTTGAGCCAGGAGTTTGAAACCAGCCTGGGAAACGTAGCAAGACTCTGTCTCTACAAAAAAATTTTAGAAATTAACCAGGCATGGTGGTGCACGCCCATAGGCCCAGCTACTTGGGAGGCTGAGTCGAGAGCATTGCTTGAGCCCAGGAGGTTGAGGCTGCAGTGAGCCACGACTTAACCACTGCACTCCAGCCTGAGCAACAGAGCAAGACCCTGTCTCAAACAAAACAAAGCACCCCCCCCCCAACACACACACACAAAACAAACTTGGCTGGGCATGGTGGCTCACTCCTGTAATCCTAGCACTTTGGGAGGCTGAGGCAGGCAGATTACCTGAAGTCAGGGGTTCGAGATCAGCCTGGCCAACATGGTGAAACCCAGTCTCTACTAAAAAATACAAAAATTAGTCGGGCATGGTGGCAGGCGCCTGTAATCCCAGATACTCAGGAGGCTGAGACAAGAGAATCGCTTGAACCAGGGAGGTGGAGGTGGCAGTGAGCTGAGATGGCGCCAGACAGCCCATCTAGTAGGGCTGAAGAAGCTGATGGGGCCCTGCTGTGGTGGAGGCTGGGGTGTTGGCTGGGGCTCAGGGTGACCCTGCAGGGCCATCCTAGTCTGGCTGGTGCCTAACATGGGCTGCTGTAGAAGGTCCCGGATAGAGGGAGTCAGGAGTCTGGACTTCAGGCTGGGTCCAGCCTTCCTCTTCCTGGAGTGGGTGCCAGCCCCCAGCCCGCTTGCGTCAGGGACACCAGGACTCCTTCCCTTTCCAGCCTGGAAAGCCCCTCTGCCGCAGCTTGGAGGAAGGGAGCTGCGCGCCCTGCTGCCCAGGACCCTGGGCCGGCCTAGAGTCAGCAGTACCTATGGGCATGGATCTGGATGGGGAAAAGGACCAAGCAGCCTCCACAGTTCATTCTGGGACCAGGCCCTTATGGGCACGCACTGGGCTCCTGTTGGAAGATGCTAAGGGCCCCAGACAGACCCCCTCTCCGGGCAACTGGGTTCCCAGATGGCAGAGGTGGCAGAGTGGGGTGGGGTACTTAGCCCCACTGGGAATTGGGAACCTTAGCCTCCTGCAAAGACCCGAGCAACAGCACATCTGCAATGTATGAGGGTCTCCTGGAGACTGGCCAGCCGGTGGTGAGCTGGGGGAAGTGGGTAATGCTGCAGTGGGAGGGGCCACCTTGCCTCTAGGGAAGTGCAATTGCTCTCTGTGGTGCCCAGGCCTGGGTAGCTGGGTGGGGGCTGGGGAGCCATCTCCGCTTCGAGTGCCCAAACCTTGCCTTCCTTACCCTGGGCCAAGCCTGCTGGCGCCTCCCGGTCCTCTGCCTGCCCAGCTTGACACCCCTGGGCCTCTCTGGAGACCAGTGGGGGAGGGCGGGGGAGGGGCGTTGTAGCACCCTGGCTTGTCACTCCTCTTGTGGCCATTCCCCTTCCAGCGGCCCCACAACTAGTAAGGGAGATGGGGGTGGGGATGGTGGTTGATGCCAAAGGTCATGGGGGCAGGGGCGGGACAGGAGAGGAAGGTTCCCTGGCTTCCCTCACCTTGGGCAGATGAAAGGCACACAGCTCCAGGAGGTGCTGAGCCGGGCGCAGCTGTGATTTCAGGGCACCTCTGGCAGTGCTGTGATTTGAGAACCTTGGGCGTCCTGGGTGACTGATTCCGGGAGACTGCAGATGAGCAATGCCGGTGAGTGTCTGGCCCCGGGGGGAAGCCCAAGCTGAGGAGGGCTGACAGCCTAGGAGGGGAGAACGGGGGTGGCACAGAGTGGGGTCTGTGGGTGTCCCACAGAGCTCAGGCAACAGAGCCTCTCCTCCCATGTGCTGCTGCAGGGAATGGCCCCACAAGGAGGCTGCGGGGCTCGGAGGTCCTGGCTGGGTTGGCTCTGCTTGCCACCCTCTGGCTCCTGTGGCTGCTGGGGTCAGGCCCTCAGGGCACCCCGGCACCCCAGCCCATGATCACCATCCTTATCTGGCATTGGCCCTTTACTGACCGGCCCCCAGAGCTACCCCGTGACACCTGTACCCGCTATGGCACCATCCGCTGCCGCCTGAGCACCAACCGAAGCCTGCTGGCCAGCGCTGACGCCGTGGTCTTCCACCACCGCGAGCTGCAGACCCAGCGGTCCCACCTGCCCCTGGCCCAGCGGCCACCGGGGCAGCCCTGGGTGTGGGCCTCCATGGAGTCGCCCAGCCACACCCACGGCCTCAGCCGCCTCCGCGGCATCTTCAACTGGGTGCTGAGCTACCGTCGCGACTCAGACATCTTCGTGCCTTATGGCCGCCTGGAGCCCTACTCAGGGCCCTCGCCACCACTGCCAGCCAAAAGCGGGATGGCTGCCTGGGTGGTCAGCAACTTCCAGGAGCGGCAGCTGCGTGCCAGGCTGTACCGGCAGCTGGTGCTTCACCTGCGGGTGGACGTGTTTGGAAGTGCCAGTGGGCGGCCACTGTGTGCCAGCTGCCTGCTGCCCACCGTGGCCCGATACCGCTTCTACCTGTCCTTCGAGAACTCTCAGCACCAAGACTACATCACGGAGAAGTTCTGGCGCAACGCACTGGTGGGTGGTGCTGTGCCCGTGGTGCTGGGGCCCCCACGGGCGACCTACGAGGCCTTCGTGCCGGCGGACGCCTTTGTGCACGTGGACGACTTTGCCTCTGCCCGAGAGCTGGCAACTTTCCTCACCGGCATGAACGAGAGCCAATACCGACGCTTCTTTGCCTGGCGTGACCGGCTCCGCGTGCGACTGTTCGCTGACTGGCAGGAGCGCTTCTGTGCCATCTGTGCCCGCTACCCCCACCTGCCTCGCAGCCAGGTCTATGAGGACCTGGAGGGCTGGTTCCAGGCCTAAGCTCTGCTGGCCGGGGGAGGTGGGTATGGGTGGAAGGGCTGGGTGTCGAAATCAAACCACCAGGCATCCGGCCCTTACCGGCAAGTACTGGGCTAGCGGGAGGCTGGGGACGGGCGTCAGGAAGCAGGGGCGGGGGTGCAGGTGGGAGCAGGAGCAGGCAGAGGGGGCAAGAGCGGGAGGGAGGCAACAGGTGCCTGCTGTCGGGGCAGACGGCAGGGGAAAGGCTGCCGAGGATCCTCCCCACCTGAACAAATCTTGTGTGGGTCAAGGCCTGGCTGGAAGAGGGTGAAAGGCAGGCCCCTGGGGCTGGGGACACCCCAGCCTACAGTTTGTGGGGGTCGAGCCTGGGACCCTGAGCTTCCTCTGTAGCAGAGGCACCGTGGTCCCCAGGACACAGGCACAGGTCCCTGCTGCACCCACAGTCCTGAGGTCCCTGTGTTCAGGCTGGCGCAGGGCCCAGGAGACCACAAGGAGCAAGTCGGCTTGTTCTGGGCTCAGGGAGGAAGGCAGAGGGTAATAAAGACCTACACCAGTGTCTCGTGGGTGCTGTCCATGCAGAGCCATGGAGCCTGTCTGCCCTCCCCTGACAGGTTGCCCCCACAGCCACAGGCTGCTGGTTCCCCACGGGGGATCCTGCCTCCTGATCCTGGGGCCTTTGCTCACCCTCTGCCTGAGAGCCCTCCCTATGCCACAGCTGCCTGATGGCTCCCCCAGTTCCTGCAGCTGCTGCCAAATGGCCCCTTATCAGAGAGCCTTCCGTGACCCAGGGCCTGGCACTGGCTGGGGCAGGCATGGTCACAGACACAGCATGAACACCTGGCTTAGATGGTCCCCAAGATCCTGCCCAGGTAGCCACAGAGGTGGGGAGGGAGAAGATGAGCTGGGATATACATGGGTCAGAGTAGACCACAAGCTGGCTGATTTGTCCCTATTGGCCCTGGGGCTCCTCAGAGGGCAGGCAGGCCCAGTGAGGGCTGGGGATGGGAAACCTGATTTGCTGAGGCAGACTGCAAAAGGCCAAAGCGATGAGCCCAGGAGTTCGAGAGCAGCCTGGGCGGTGTAGTGAAACCTCATCTCCACCAGAAATACAAGAATTAGCAGGGCGTAGTGGCTCATGCCTGTGGTCCGAGCTACTTGGGATACTGAGGCAGGACGATGGCTTGAGCCCAGGAGGTTGAAGCCGTGGTGAGCTGTGATCACACCACTGCACTCAAGCCTGGGCAACAGAATGAGACCCTGTCTCAAAACAAAAAACCAAAACTGGCCACAGAGGGTGAAGAGTAGGGAATGGACGTCAGAGACCTGGCCAGGCTGAAAGTGCCCATCTCCCAGGCCCGCAGGCTGGAGGGTGTCTGGGGTGACGGGTCTGACCTGTGCCTTGGCGCTCCCTCTGGTGGCCAGTGCTGGGGAGGCACTGAGGATGCTGCCGCAGCCAGGGAGCCCCTGTGGCCGGTGGGGAGTGGGACGAGGAGAGAGGTCATCGCACGGTGGTGATGACCAGCTCCAACAGGCCAAGCTCCCGGGGCTGGGCACAGGGCTGGTCCCTGCGCCAGGTGGGGGTGGGCAGGTTGAAGCCAGGAAGCCCCCATCACCCTTGGCCAGGGCTTGTGGGAAAGACCTGCTGGTGGCTTCCTGCCCTGACTTAGACCCATGGACCGAGCAGGGAAAAGCAAATGTCCTGAGGCTGTGGGCTGGGGTGGGAGGCTGACGCCCTCACCCACCAGCCCAGGGTCACCTTCCTGCTGCAATGGAGCTGGGAGGAGTGGGGAGCTGTGGCCCAAAGGTCTTTCATTCACTTGCGGGTGTACCTTCCATGTGCGCTCCTGGACACCACACTGGACACTGGGCCCCACACAGCTCCACCTCAACCCATTCACAGGGGCTCGCGGGGAAACTGAGGCTGGGAGGCGACGTTGGAGCCTGCCCTCTGTCGCCCTCTGCAGGCCACGCGGAGGAACTGCCCACCTCCCCGGGCGCCGCAGCAGGTGCCAAGCCACCGCCGCGGAACCGCCTGAACCCGAACTCTCGGTTCTGGGGCCTGACTCGCCCGGATACGGGGAGAAAAACGAGCCATGTGCAGCGGGGGCAGCCGGGGTCCCCGGCCTGTCCACCCACGGCGAGCGTTCTCGGGGCCTCGGGTTTCCTCCCTTTCGATGGCTGCCCGGAATGCGGGACCCAGCCCCCGGCCGCCCGGCCTCCCCTGCAGGTGGGCGCCGCCTGGGCTCCACGTGCTCGTTTAGGAGACTCGCAGGAGACCCTCAAGGGGAGTGGGCCGGCGCCTCGCCAGCGTCCGCTCCGGACGCCCCGGGGGCAGTGAAGGCCTGGGCGCCTCTGCAGAGTTGCCAGCGCGGCGGGCGCAGCTGGGCCCCGGGAGCGGAGCGCGGCGGCGAGGGTTCCCGGCCTCCGGGGCTGAGCGGGCTCTCGGATCGGATGCGGGCTGCGAGGGCTGTCGCGCGTGGCGTGACTCCCGGCGAGGGGCGGCCCGGAGGCTTCCCGGCGGCGGCGCGCGAGGGTCTTGGGCCCGGGCGGCGGGCGCCTCCTGGCGGGCGCGGGCGGAGCGCGGCGCCTTTAAGCGGGGGCGGGAGGGGCACCGGCAGAGTCGCTGTTACCGCGGCCGCCGGGGCGGAGCCAGCGCAGATCGGGTCCCGGACGCCCGAGCGCCCCGCCCCCGCGCGGGCGATGCCCAGCGGCGCGGCGGGCGGCGGGGCCCGGCGGGGCGCGCAGAGGAGCGGGCCGCGGCGCTGAGGCGGCCGAGCGCGGCCCCGCCATGGGCTTCCTGCACCAGCTGCAGCTGCTGCTCTGGAAGAATGTGACTCTCAAACGCCGGAGCCCGGTGAGCCCACCCCACGCGCCCGCTCGCAGCCCAAGGCCGCGCGCTCCCCGCGCGCACGTGCGGACGGCCGGGCGCTCGCAGACCCTGGCGGGCGCGGGGGTCAATACAGGCCTGGGCCCCCTCCCTGCCGGGCCCTGCCCGTCCCTCCAGGCGCTGCGGCCTCCGGGAGGTGGCTGGGTCGTGCCCAGCCCGTCCCCGCGTCCGCTGTTATCGCGGTTCTCGGCTGAGTCACGGCACCCGCGCCCTCCGCAGCTCGCTCTCTGGGGCCGCTGTGGGCGGGGGGCAAGCGGCGCTCAGGACTCTGGCTCAGGGAGGCCCCAGTTCCCAGGACAGAGGGCAGGCCTAGGGGGCTCCATCCAGCTGCCAGGTTCCACGGCCCTTGGGCCCAGCCTTACTGGGACCTGGGGGAGACCCCGTCCCTGCCCAACCTCCACCCCTCCCCTGCCCTTGGGCAGCGGCCTGCCGTGGCATCTGTCCACCTCCCCTCCCCCGCACCATCCTCTCTCCCGCACCACCCTCCCCCCCCACACACACATCCATGACCCTTGTTGATGCCCTCGCCACTGGGAACGTCCTTGTGCCAGCTTCAGCCAGCCTGAGTCTCTGCACCCCTTTGTCCTTTGGGGTCAGTTCTCCCTGAGCCTGGTCTACTCTATTCCCTCCTGGTTCCCCCCACCTCCTCTGGGGGCTGGGTCTGCTGTTTGGAGCTGTGACCACCGGGTTACCCAGCACTGCCTGGGCAGCCAGTGGACCTGAGGGTTTGGAACGCATATCGGTCAGGGACAGAAGTCCTGCGTGGAGCAAGGGGCTTCAGGGCATGGGTGTCGTGCCATAACCCCAGCTGGCCAGCTTGGCTCCAGCCTAGGAAGGGCAGGGGCAGCTCCCAGGCCAGAGGCCTGGGCTCGCTTGGGTTTCTGAAGGCCCTCGGTATTGTCCAGGCCAGGGCCCAGAGCAGGTGGGCACCTGAGGTAGACACACCCTTTTGCCCAGCCAGGACCCCTGGGGCCACACCAGTCCTTGCCTGTTTATCTTTCAACATGCACTTCGGGAAGGCCAGACTGCGGGCAGGTGGGGCGGCCATCATCACCACGGCTGGCAGCATTCCCCTGGGCACCTGGCCTTGGCAGGGAGCCCGGGTTAGGTACATGCCCTGCCCAGGCACCTGGGGCTGGCTGAGTGGGGTCCTGCGGACCAGGCCTACAGTCCTTGGCATTGGGTCAGCCTGGGGACAGCAGAGCAGGGCCAGGGGAACAGGGATGTGGACTGTGACATGCATTAGTTTTGGCCCCCGGGGGTTGTCACAAAGAGCCCCCACTCTGCCTGGGAGCAGAGACCGGAATGGTGTCCCCTGTTCCACTGGGGACAACGCTCAGGGAAGGGAGTGTGGCTCATGGGGCACCTGGCAGGCAGGTGGGAGGCATGCGCCATCCTGACTGCAGAAGTTCCTCCCAGCTGCTGGTTTGGGCTGCTCCCCAGGACCTTTCTGGTTCCCCACCCTACAGGGTTCCCAGAGGCCCACTGGCCCACAGTGGAGGTCCTTAGCCCTCGGCTGGTGCAGGTGGGAACTGTTTCCCCAGGGAGGCTGCGTCCTTCCCAGGTTTGTGATGTGGGGCTGGGGCCGCTGGGCACCCCCACACGCCTGCTGGATTCCCACTTTCCTGGGAAGGATCTTGGATGTCAGAGCTGGACTCTTGGGGCCAGGCTTGGATGGCAGAGGTTTGCCCTGCCGGCGGCCTGCTGGGGCAGGGGCGCACCCTGGGCGGAGCTTAGGGTCTGGAGGGTGGGTACCAAGGGTCTCTGCGCTGCTAGCAGGCTCCTCCAAGCTCCCTGCCTCTGTTTCCCTGGCTGATGTGGCCCATGCCCTCTTAGCTGGATGTGGGTCTACCCTCAGGATACAGGCTGCTGCTCTTGGTGAAGGGACAGGGTCACTGTCATGAAGCCCCTATGGTGGCAGGTGGCAGCACCACCCTCAGGTCTCACCTGTTCTCCCCTTGACACAGTAGGCAGGGACTACAGGGAGGGGTCAAGCCCAGAGAGGGCCTCCAGGCCTCCAGGCAACATGATGGCACTGGGCTGGCCTTGAGAGACGGAGGTTGGGCCACCTGCAGGCACCCGTATGGGGCACCCAGGGCGCGCTAGACCTGTGCTGCCGCCTGTAACCAGGTGCCCCTCTGGCACCCGCCACCCGCCAGCCAGGACTCTCCTCCTCCCAGAAGCTCGTGCGAGGCCGTTGCTATAGCAATGGAGGAGGCAGCCGGGCCTGTTGCAGTTACAGCACCCTTAGTGGGCCGGGTGTGGGCAGGGCTGGCACCTCACGCTGTGACCCTGGCCTTGGCATTGCCCCACCCCTGTAGCCACCCTCACCCTGGTGCCTGTTGGTGCCCACAGTGCCTAGGCAAGCCCTGGGTTCCATCCTGGCTCAGGGAGCGGGTGGAGGCTGGTACAGGCTGGGGCGGGCTGAGGCACAGACATAGCATGACGTTCCAGCCACAGAGCCCTATTGTCCAAGCACAGTAAACACAACAGCCGCCCCCACCCCAGGGACTGGGGGCTCGGCCCGGGCCACACAGCACACTGGGGGCTCTGAAAGGTTTTGATATGGGGACGAGGATGAAGGATGCCTCCAAACTGGGTGCTGGGGAGCTCACCCTTGGTCTAGGGAGGACAGGGCCCCTCTGTCCTGTGGGTCTCAGAGAGGGCTG